GAATATGTTTTTGCAAGATTTTATCATTTGGGTACAATTTAATTTCTCGAAATTTACTTAAACTAAAATAGTAAAGGTAAGGATTTAAGGCAATTGCTCCAACTAATTTATTTGGGATTCAAACAAGGAATTGCGTTTTCAAATAATACTACTTATACATACATACTTACATAGATCATAGCATAAGTGACTGAAGACTCAGCAGGGATAACATTTTGGTTACTAAGTTTAAATAATAATGTGTAATGCCAGTGGGTTGACACGAATTACTGGGACTAGAGAAAATGATCACAGGCGAACTCAACGTTTTAAATTATGAATAATAATATTAATCCTGAAACTTTTAGATGAGAAATCTTAAATTAAGCCCACACTTAAGAAACATAGATTTAAACTAAAATTGCTCGCAAAAGTAATACGTTTAATTAAAATATTAAATTAAATAAATACTCCCCACCAATGTGTTCCGGCAGTCGAAGCAGAGGGAAATTCTGAAATTCTGTAAATTCATGTTTAATTCGAATTAAGCAAAACAGTTTGTTATTAAACATAGTTTAAAACTTCAAATGTTCCCTAGAGTAATTCGCTTAGGAATCTATTCACAAGCTTCAAAATGTCAAAAAGCAAAAGTTGATAATTGTAATAAAACTAATTAATGACTAACTTGTGCAATTTAAGAACCACACCTTAAGGCTCCCAGAGGTTAGAGAGAACGACCAAAGCTTTGATTAGTCAGAAGACATATTTGTAGGCGGGAAAGAGATTGGTTAAAAAACAAAGAACAAATCATAGTCACAGAAATAGTTTCCAGTAACATTTTGCCACCAATTTTAAAAATATAATATAAAAGCGTGCAGATTAGAAGACCCAATAGGTACTGCATTGCTTTTATAAGTATAAATGTTTATATTTTTAAGACCCGAATATGCATTACTCACGAACGAGCTCAACGGCTCCGAATGGAGAGCCATTAAGTACTATGAGTCCAGCACACCTACACCTGAAGCAAGAAATTACAAAAATTCTGGGTGAAATGCCATTTTACAAATACTCACAAATAATTATTGTCCATAACTGAAACTCCAAAGATGAAAGATATGAACTTTATTGGAATAAAGGTTTGAGGAGAAGTTCTTTAATATAACATCGTCTAACGGATAATAATGAGAGTCAAACAAAGAAGGCCTTAAAAGCCATTCATCCATGGGTGAGAAAATTGCTATAAATAACAAAATAAAACATACATTGCATGCATTATTTATGTGTGTGAATTCGAGTGCACTTCCATTTTCGATTTTACTTTTCCTGAACGAATGCGTCTCTTTGTTTTCGAATGTATTTCAACATTTCACTTCTTTTGCTGATCGCTATTTGCAAAAGGCAAAAAAACAGTATTAATATATGCATCGGATTAAATTTTAATGGGCTTGTTGCAGCTTCGTGCATTGCATGTGCAATTCATTTTCATATTCTGTGCGGTGGAAAGTGCAGAAAATAATAAAAAATAAAACGCTCCAATTCCCAGGCGAAGGCAGTTTTCAAGTCATTCCAACCACAATCACATCAAAAGCAGCTCTCCATAGAATATGGGTAGTATGATGGCCTGGTAGCTGAGTCGAATTTGGAGCTGAATTCGCGCAGTTGTTAGATATGCAGCGAACATTGGCTGCCATTTTGCGGGCGGGCTTTCGAAACCGGTATTCCAATTGAATAGCAAATCAAATACTTAACCTTCACTGCTGCCGTGGCGAAGCCAAAGGTTCGTTGCCTAAGTCTTTTGATCCGTACTCGTGCTTAACAAAATTGAAAGTATTGTAGTGTGCTGTAGAGATTGTTGTTGTTGCTGTTATTGCTGTAATTGCTGAAAAAAGAAAGGCCCGCCTGTTGATAAGAAACGTAGTTTCAAAATTAGGAAAATCACGCTCCGTCTCTTGTCGCAGTGTTTTCACTTTTTTTCTTCTTTTTTCATGTTTTCTTTTCAACGGCCTTGCTCTGTTCGCGGAAGTCGAGTCGAGTCGGATCGGTTCGAGTCAGAGCGCGCCTTTTGGTGCTTCTCCAGTACTGGGACTGGAGCTGGGGCTGGGTCCGAGACTGGTACTGGTATCTCATATCGGATTGTGAGTGCAAGCAGCAGCCAATGTTGCTTGCCTTGAAAGCCAACCTGACGATGGCTGGTGGGGAGTGGTGGGGTTTTGCGCTCATTATGCCACCACTCGGGTCGGTGCGCTCGACAGTGCGGCGGAAGAACAAAAAGCTGCTGCTACTATTTGTTTTCCTACCATTGTTCGAGCGGGGTCCGACCACAACGTTGAAGTAGCAGCTCTCTGTAAGGAAATAACCCGGTAATGGCAATTGTTGTTTTTGTGGCTCTTGTCTTACTTTACTTTTGCCAGCGAGTCGCACACAATTTGGCAGATGATTGATGGGCGCCATACGAGTACACAGAAAACTAATCTGTGTCGTATTTTATTCGCTGGCGGATGTGTTCTAATAAAGTCGAGCTATTCAAAAAAAAAAAAAAAAAAAAAAAAAAAACTCACGCAATTCAAGGCTTTGTTTTAGTTTATAATAGACCAGATTTAAAGTCATATAACAAACACAATAAAGCTCTCAAACGATTCGAATCAGACAAGCTCATTGGTCCCGAGGCATTCAGCTATTAACTGGTTTAGGCCCATTCACTTAAAGCCCATACCATTTGCTATTCAGAATCATAAAATCAGGCGTACTTAAAGTTTTGTGAATATGGTAGGTATAATCGGCCCTCAACCATTCTGTGGGACCCTTTATAAAATGAAGATTACGAAATGAAAAAACTTTGTGGTGACAATCTATGGCAGCAATATAATGTAGTGCACCGATTTTGAACAAACCTAACGTCACGGTGGGGGATTATTATTTAACAAATTTTTCGTTAGCCAAAAACATGTAGAACTTCTTGTAATTGTTTAAAAAAAAACTCAGCTTCAATTTGCATTCCAAGGTAAGCCGCACTGCTTAAAAGTAAAAGCCATAACTTTTTCGAAACAAATTCGATTTATTTTATTCAAAGTATTTTACTTTGGAATTTACACAACCATTTATATGGCTTAAAAGTTTGTCAAATGAATGTATTCTCAAAAGGATGCCAGTAAGTCATAGCATGCCCTTCATCGTCCCCTTGTCAAATTGGATTCTGTTGTTGAAGCTCCCAGTGTTTAGGAATTTTGGTTGGCCAACATAATTGCCAATTATAAAAGCATGTCAAACTTACAAATCTTTTTAAAACGGGTACACCTTTTACTTGCCCTAAAACCATATAAATAGTTGTCAACAATCAAAATTTTTGTCGACCAAAGCTTGTCTAATCGCAAAATAAAACTATACATTAGCTTGTTTACAATTAGAAGAACAATTATAAGCGATACTTTAGCTTCTTCAGAGGATTCTTTCTATTATATTTTGTGTATGTGCGCGACAAACCGCAGCTTTTGAGGCTCCAAAAGTTACAACTTTTAGTCTGTCGATTTGTTGTTAATAACATTATCTTCGTGTACTCCAGTTCACCTTCTTTCGTTTGATAATAAGTGGGCGATGAGGATTCTTTATTTGTATTAAAATATAGAGCCTAAGTATATCAACCTTAAGATTGGCAGTTGACAAATGTTTTGACAGGTTGTTTATCAATCAGTCAGTCACTCAACAGCAATCGGCCGCTCATTAATCACGGATGAATTTTCTGCTGAGCACGACGCCCCATGACTTTGCAAATTGATGAATGGCAGCTAGAATTTGAAAAACGCAAATACCGTAAATAAATAAAAAGCGACCAGCGACTTACCCTCGAATTGTTCAAATAAAAGAAACAGATTTATGTTTGTATAGTTTGTAAATAATGAGCATTGCATTTGAACTTTTAAAACATATCAAAAAAGAAATGCATTAAGATCGTGTGAATGGTTTTATTATAACTCCTATATGTATGTGTTTTGATTGATTACATCATCATTATCTTCAATCATTGCAGAGAGTAGTGTTGTGTGTGTTGTGTGATCGAGAATTGTTTGTTTGTATTTCTTCTTTTTGAGTTCTTTTTTTTTTTTTTAGTTTATAGCACAAATATATTTAAATGCATTTAAAACTTGCAGCTCTCAACTGCCGGCGACTGGCTGCTTTGTTCGTTCTCCTACTGAATAAAAATGGCAGTTTATTATTATTTTGTTTAGAGTTTAAATGCCACAAAATGTTTGCAATACACCGCAATGTGTTATTTGTTGCTTATGTTTATACTAAACTTTACCGATGCTAGTTGAATATTTTTATTTGATTACACATATATGTTTTGAATTAGTTTTTAACGAAATTTCCGACAGCAGTTTAACTCCTTTTTTTGTGTTCTTTGTGTTTCGTCTGTCTGTGTTGTGAGGGTCCTTTCGGCGGCATATGAGCCTTCCGGCGCGCCCTCCTCTTTCTTATAATTAATTTTTAAACGCCCCAAGTGCTGGCTTACCCAACAAGCAAAATAATTTGTCAGTGCCTGAGTCTGTTTTGCTCGACTTTATCTAATTTTAAATTATAATTTTTTATCGCTTCACTTATCTGATGTATTGTGTATGGTAGTAGGAAGATTTAAGCTACATTTTCACGATCCTCGACACCTCAACGAGTCTATATGTCTACGATCAGTCTAGTATCGGGGCATTGAAATGGCAAGCTGAGCGCTTCATATACCCTGCACCGAAGGGTATATTAAATTTAATGAACACAGAGGGAGTGAGAGGGGAAGAAAAATAGTTCTGAGCTGTGCGATTTCTTTACCTTAGAAAAAATGTGATGCTTGAAATATTCTAGACTATATACTATATGGCCTGGCTCAGTCAAGCTCAGATAGACACGCCCACCGATGAAAACTACTGAGTATCTCATTGAATGAAACACAGAAAATAAAAATGTAGCCTAATGGCAATTCTTGCGTCGCATCTGCGATCTTCAATTACCAGACAAAATACAAAATATGTGTCTGTCGTTACACATTCCATTATTTAGTTTGTTGTTTTTCTCTTTCGGGTTGTACAGATGGGGAAACCTACCATTGAAATAAAATTAAATTACACTAGGCCTGGTTAGCCTACGGCTTTGTTAAATTAAACATGAGTACTTATTTGCATTATTCACGCTTTCAACTAAAATTACAGTCTCACTATAAGGGGTACGTCGGTTTGGCTTATCGAAAAAACTCAAGTTCTGGTTAAAATTGAATTAATTGCTTTATCTTGTCCTTGTCGTCTTTAAAGCTTTGCTGCTGCTACTGCTGCTGATGCGGCGGCCCATTGCATTAATTCATCCGTTCATTTAGTCCTGCTCGGCAGCGCCCGGATAATAGTATGGTGGTGGGCGCTCGTATTCGGAGGACGGTGGTGCCTCTGGCGGATTGTGGTAGCGTGGCGGCTCATGGTCCCAATGCCTGTCGAATACAAATCCACAGAATTAGTTTGTCTCATCATATGTTACGACTATAACGACGAAACAGACAGGGTGCTCTATTATGGGAAGGATATGTGTCTCATCAATTCCTATCTTTTGATTTTATTTTGTACATAAAAAGCTAAATTTTATGCGATGCGTTATGGGATGAGTGCAGCGAAGATGTGATGGGCGAGAATTGTCATTAAATTAAAAAAAAAAAAAACAGAAAACTCTATAAAATAATTGAGTGCTTCGCGCAACTAGGTGGATTCCCTTGTATGGGTTGTTTTGACTGAGAAAGCGCATTTGACTTAAGGTACAATTGTGCTCTTTAATACTAGAACATGAGGAAAAGCTAAAGTCGAGTGCCCCGACTTTGAAATACTCCGTACCTATGTCCAACCCATTTATAAGAAATAACTAATAGCGGGGAAGTTGGGAATGATTAATTATTAAAAATAAATATTTGTTGCTCATGTGAGATCTGAGATCTAGGTGTTCACATGGACGGACAAACAGATTTGCCTTGTCATGCTGATCAAGAATTAATTCATTAATATATCCATATGGATAGTACAAGTTTAGATGCCCAGTTTGGTGTCCCTAACTCCTATCGTTCAAAAATTCTCGATGTTCATACAGACGGACATGTCTAGAACGTTTCGTGTGTGCCTTTCACACACATTCCACTACTAGTATTATGCTCTTTAAGCTTCCGGGTACAGTGTATGAAAATCTAACCATTGCAAAATGAATTAAAATAGTTGTAAAATAAATGTAATCTAGACACATTGAAACACGGAAGTAGAGTCTGTTCACGAATCTCAATATGCTTGAAGTCTCATATGGTAGTTTCGCATATTAACAGACTGACCTAAATCTAAATTGTTTACATATTAGAAATATGTAGGAGGCTTATCTAATATAGAGTGTAGAAGGTATGTAGGTAGACTTGCTTGCTTCGAAATTGTGCTGAAATAGTAAAATATTATATGTATCGCATAAGTCTTAGATGCCGTGGAAGCGCATGGGATATTGAAGGGTATATGGTTTGGTTTTTTTGTGGACAGAGGCTTACTTGGGGGCCATGTCATTGTAGCGCATATTGCTGCTGCCTGGTCCTTCGGCTCGAGCGCCACGCGATCCGCTGGGCGAAGCGTCCTCATAGAACTCCTGCTGCTCGCGTCGACGATCATAACCTTTGCGCCGTTTCTTCGGTACACTGAAGATGAACAAAAAGGAATGAAAGATGTTAGAAGTGTTAGATGAATTGGGGTTCTCTCATTTGTTTTGGACATCTTACTTGGCCAATGGCATATGTTCGCGCTCGCTATAGGCGTCATATAAGTAGTCGCTGCTGCATGCAGATGCGTTATGTTAGCAATGAAATGAAAGACATGAAATAAAGTTAATAAATCGTTCACCACATTCGACAGCTCTTTTCGAAAGTATGTATATATATATGGAAATATGAACCAAACGTCAGTGTTTTGAATAAAAATGGGGGATATGCTTGGTTAGGTTATCGTTTCGTTGATTGATTTCTTTTGCTGTTAGTCTTGCTTGCTCTTGCGAGTGCTTTGGTGACTTGATTGGGGTGTTATATCGCTAATAATGCCGGCTGGAACACTTTCAGAGTTGTTCAGTTGCGGAACAAACTTGGCGTTGCCGCCGCCACCGCCTCCGCGTGATGTGCCGGGGTCGGGACAACTACAATATGTTTGTTGCCCACCGCCACAAGTCACAATGGGCGGCGGAACATACGGGGCGCCTGTACATACAGGACAGCTAACAGAGGGGGAAGGCGGGAGGAATGTATGTTAACAACAAGTTAGAACGTTAGCTTCGAAACGCCGAAGCTTTAAAATACACTTGCAAATGTATGGTAGAGACTGTAAACATTCGGAAATTAAAAAATCTTTTTTTCAACATCGGATACAACACTTTCCAATATCCATTAGACTTATCATGTTGTTATAAACGATTCATTCATTTTTTATACAAAGTCAATTTTAAACACGATAGTTTCAAAACAGCTAGAGCTGTCACGGACAGGGCTATATTAATTAGTTTTGGAATGGAATATTTCTTTAAGTCTTTTCCAACATCGGACCACAAGTAGTACATATACACTTTGCAAGGTTATTGTTATAGTATAATTGGTTTCAGACAGACTGTTGTGATGGGTTGGCTTAATTTGACGAACTTTGTTCTGTCCATTACGACTTACCCGCCTTCGACGACAGTGGGTGCCGGGGCGACATAGGGATCGATCTTTTTGTAGAGGCACATGAGTTTATGGGCCACCCACAAGGTTGGCAAGAAGAGCAAAGTGGCCAGCAGCAGACCAACCCAGAAACCGTTCTGTAAGCAACGATTTAAGTTTAGAAATCATCAATCGCGTGTAGGCAATGGGCAGAATACAAGCTTACCATTGGATCGACTATACGGTGACAAATCAGGTCGACGCCACGATGATATAGGTACGCCAATGGTCCACAAGGACCCACTCTAACATCTCCCTCATGAATCACATATTCTTTGTATGCGTCGACTGACTCCTCGACCCATTCGCTAAGGTTTCGTCCCAGCTCATTGACATATTGCTTGCCACGCGATTTTATGAACTCCTCAGCTCGAATTATGGAACCAACTAGTATGTTGATAGAAGCACTGAAATTGTTATTCTCATACAAGATCAGCTTATCGATCTCCTTGACTATATCCTCAAACTTGTCAATAATAACATGCAGTTTAGTAACAAACTGATCATCATAAACCTCCAGATTGTAGGCCTCGTTTAGCAACGAGATATGAGCGAAATAATAAGTATTTCTCAGTCCGGAACCAAAGCCTCGCAGTCTGCCGGCCATGGTGGGCAACGGTGTGGGAGTTAGAGGCTTACACAGATACTCTGTAAACTGCGAGCTATGATAGTTCGCCAAGCTGTTGTTCGCCAACTGACGAAGCTGATGCTTCTCATCGGTGGTCAGAATTTCCACCTTTGACAGATCATCAGCGAAAGCAGGCATACCATCCGGGTCTACGCTCTTATGCAAGAGTTTGATGCGAGAAAGTTCATCGATGTTGTAAATGCCGTTCTCCCTCAATATTTGGAATATAGTTTTATTCGCTTCACACGCTGCGATCGCCGCTGACATATGCATTGGCGGTCTGGATTCACCTCCGCCACCATCACCACCAGGGGGCGGTTTTCCACCACCTTCGCCGCCGTGATCGCCACCACCGTGATCGCCACCACCACCGCCGGCTCCAGGAGGAGCAACTTCGCCACCGCCGCCTGGAGGTGCTGGTGGACCATCGTCACGTGGCATGAATTTATTAAGATCTACGACCGAGTCAAGTTGTCGGAACAAAGCATTTTCCGTCTTGTCCCTGTGGATGTAATCATCAGATATACACATGGCTGTAGACACATTATCCACAAAACTCACCTCAATGGAGCACAGGCGCCATGGTATGTCACGAGGCCGATGATAAAGTAGAATAAACCGATTAATGTAAGGATTGAGAACACCATAAATATCAAGATTATGGCTCTGTAAAGACGAAACACTAATTAACTCCAAATTCCCAATTAATTACAAAAGCCACTCACAATAGAAGACACGAGGCACCGGTGCCTTTGTTACAGCAAGGATCCCGCCAGCCTCGGGGTCGTTTGCCACAGCAGCCAAACAGGAGAGCGATTATCAATATCACTAGAATCTAGAAAGAAAAAGAGGCAGTCACAACCAGGCGACATTCTTTAAACCATAAACAAGAAATACTTACAACTATTAAAATAAAACAAATGACAAGATTAATGTAATAGCGATCGGATCCAAACTTCTCATACACATCCTCAAACGATCTCGTTGAATGTATCGTATTCAGATATATGTCACTGATGACGGCATCGATAATGTTGCGTATGTTGGTCGCTTGTGAGCGGAAGACATCGCGGCCAGCCGACAAGTCACGAATAATCGGCGGCGTGAGCATCCTTAAGTGCTCTCTGATCTTGGATGAAATATCCCTCAAGCGCACCAGTGCCCGTTTCGGTATCTCAACAAGCTGCCTTGCTATAATGTCCTCCATGGCCTCCACATAGGCAGTGGTGTTCGGTACCTGTAAGAATAGCATGCATATGAGTGGCCAATGCGTGCGGCAGTTCAGACTCCAAATGCTTACCAAATCATAATGTATGCAAGGGGACATGTCAATAAACTCGATATCGGTGCTGCCCAAAAAGTTGATGCAATCTTGTGTGCCACAAAGGTTGATGCACGCGAAATTCACGTCACGCTTAACACCACGCACACCTGCGAAACAGTCAATAAGGTTGCTCGTTAGTCATACGTAAGATAGGTGAACCAATTAATAATCGATTCAAATATCAAATAAAGTACTCTGCTAAATTTTTAATCAACAACAAAGATTCGATTCTAGGCCACTTTTAAAACTATGATTGAAAAAGGACTCTCCGACCGTTTGCACCAATCGTTCTTACGACAACTATACTATATGACATATATGATATAGGTTATGAAAAAATCAAATCTGTTCAGGGTATCGTAATGAAAAAAAGTTATTCCACTTCCTCAATGGCAACTAAAAAAACAACTAAAAAAACATACATATGTAGGTTGTAATAAACTGGTTATATGCTTCAAAATATTCAATGTTCACATCTATAGCTGGCCAGACTAACAGACATGGCTATATCCATTCATCTTGTCATGCTTCTTCCTACACCTATCACGCACATTAGTTCATAATTTCAGTTAACCTTTCCACCACTCTCCAGTTATATAAGGTAATCTTATGGGATTATTTCAAATCAAACGATTAGTAAAAAGTTTAATTACCATCTCTTAGCTGAGCAACAAGGAATCTAGCCTCCGTAATCATCGCATCCAATTGGCGCATGAGCTTCAGTGCAGCAGGCATATTAGTCAGAATACGCAGCAACTCCTCAATGGCAGAGCTTTCGGAAGTGTCGGAGAGATCGAGGAAGATATGTTTGTGAGCATCTGTAGATTGAAAGAGGCTATTGAATGTGGATGGCGGTTATGCAAATCGAATTTCTTTATCGTACCGTGTAGCTCCTGCATGAGCTGTGTTTCCAATTCTTGATAATTGTATACGAGCAAATGGTAGACATGGTCCGAAACATCCTTCAAGTATTTACATGTGTCCTCAGTGCCTTGCTTCACCGATGGGGTGGCCTGCTTGAAGCCACGATCCAAAACCTTGTTTGTCACCAGTGCTATTATGATGCCAAAACTGAAGCGTTCAAGAGATTAATAATATATATTGGATGAGGTTTGCATGAATAATACATACAGTATGCCGATGATGAGCAGCAGTAGCAGGAAGCCGAAGCAGCAACGAAGACGTGCATCTTTCTTCCGGTCGCAAGGCGGACATCCTTGTTTACAACGGCGACAGCAACAGAAGCAACAATAGCAAACACTAGCGGAAAAGGAAATGCGCTTAAATTTGACGACAATCAGCTAGGGTTAAATCTCTTTAATAATTTCTCTTCTCAAAAACTGTTAATCTCGGCTATTTAGGGTATTCGACTAAACTTTTCAACTGCTTAATTATAATACCCTATTTAATTAAACTCGTTTGGTAACCACAAAGCACTCTTTTAACATCTTAATCAAAAGTATCTTATAAAAAAAAGATTAAACTTACGCTATAAACGGTATCACGATTATCAGAATGAGCAGAATTAACACTAGGAGCCAAACCACCCAGTAGTGGGCTAATAGGTCTCTCCATTGGTTTTCTTCTACTTTAGGTCCCAGAGCCAGGGTGTCACCTCCTTTGGTTACAATGTACCCTGTAAAGAAAAAGATGTTGGTCAGCTTCATCGAATAACTGAGTACGGAGTGTAACAGGAACGTACCGTCTGGAATGGCCTGATCAGATATTATTGCATCGAAGAAGCTGTGAGTAAAATTGAATACTGGTGACATGCCCCCGGTTGCGAAAGTTTGACTTTCGCTGTAGGGAATCTTTGACTGGTAAATGGTATATTCGACCTGCGGCCAATGGGGTTGGCCCAGCTGTTCGTGGGTGGTGCCGTGACCCTCGTAACCCTTGCGCCAGTACGGTGGAGCAAGGGTCTCATTACCATCTCCATCGCCACTTTCATCACCAGGGTCATCCGGAGCTGGGGTTGCTGGGGTTTCTGCGCTGATCGGTCGTATGATAGTTGCCAGCGCCAATCCAAATATAGCCACACTAATGCCACATATAACATAATAAGCGATCTGCCGTTGACGGCGTTTTCGGGCACGCACTTTATAGCGTTTTGTCTTTGGCTTGAGCTCCATTTCTTCGCCTTCAGCCATTCTGTCTTCTGTCTTCTGTCCTGGCCAGGCCTTCTACAATTCTCAAATGTACTATTTTTGTCTATTCTCCGCTGCTTTAATTCTTCACTAACACGTTGGGTAGCTGCTATTGTTTTTGTCGAAGCAGCGTGCACCCATTTCACGCTTCAGCGGACTGCAAACAGAAATTGGAGAGAAGCTAACAATTAATATGTATATTTGGGAATGGCTGAGAAATCGCCAATGTCCTTTTCATGTTCAACTTTAAGCATTTAGGCGTTCATTTGCATTTGGCACGCCTTGACCTAATTACAAAGACTAGTCGTAGGAAGGCAGCGGTTAAGCGATTTGGGTGCGCCACTATCCTTTTTCCTCGAACAAAATTAGTTGAACCGATGCGTGGGATTGGACAGTGTGTGGGTGTGGGTGCGTTGCTGGGTTTCCACATTAATTACATGTGGACATAAAATACTGTTTATATGTTATAATTATTACTACGCATATCAATAAAATCTTTCGGGCACACATGCAAATTATTTGCTCACAAATTCTGACTTCATTCTGCATATTGTACCTTATACATGGTTTGACATACTTGTGAAATCCTAACATTGCTTTAAAAACCCGTCACGTTCACAAACAGTTTGCTGAGCACTCCATTTTTTGAATAAAATTTAAATATTCCCGTTTCCGAATTTTAATTTGATTAATCCCATTACTTTGCTTCACAAATAATACTATAAAATTACAATATCTCAAAGGTTGTTCAAAATGTATTACCAATTTCGGTTCCAACCGATCTGAGAGAACTCAGAAAAAGCAAATACTTTCATAACATAAAATAAACCAAATCTATATTTCAAGTAGACTTTACAGTGTTCTGTACTTTGTATCTACAATTTAATTGTTGAAAAGGTTCGGGCATTCTTCTTTATAATTATTCAATCAAATTATTATTCTCATTTAGTCAATTTCATTTCATTGACATTTATTTATACTATAATTTTTCTTTTTTCAAAACAAGTTGTTTTCTTTAAGTCGTTGCACTCAGATGATAACTATTTAATTTATATATGAGACACCTTACAATATTCGAACAAATTCAAATATGTACACATATTTTTCTTAATTTTGCTGTACTCAGATAGAACTTTTCGCTTTTTGCAAGGCAAATAACACTGCTAAGAACAATTCATTTTGCTTTAAACACATTGAATTATTGTTAACAATTCCACACTCCTTTATCCATTATGATGCCTTTTTATTATATATAGGCTGTAATATGTATACAAAACAAGACAGATCTTTGGAAGGCTGAGAGCACTGGCAATGTGCATCCAAAGTACATATAAGTACTATATATATGTATGTAAAATACAGTATATATAGTATACACACATAACACACAAACTCATCTTAACACTCTGAAGGCAATTCATTATTGTGAACTGAATGAATTAAATGTTTAAAATTTAGTTAAGCACCGTTTTAATTGTTCTTCATTGTTTTGTCCCGCGCAACTGCTCTGTGGAAGACTCTGATGCAGAGATGCGACAGCAGCTGGCTGTACAAGTATGGCTATGTCTATGCGTCTCGACTGTGAGTGCAGAAAAATCTGTATACCCATGTCACGGTTAACACGAAAAGCCAACCGATGCCGAGCAGGGCTTAGAACGGCCTTGACGCGAGAGGCAGCTTTTGCGACGGCGTTGGAAAACAACCAGGCACCGGCTTGGAGCCCCTACTAACGACGCCATTTTATGATGTCTCTGGCTCTGCCGAGCCATGGCCGTGGTCGTCGAGCATGAGACGACATCAGACATGGAACGCTCACTTCGCACCTACATACATATTTATATATAAACAAAACAATTTGCAGAATCAAGCACATGCGCACTGCAGATAACATTACACTCTCCTACACAAAAGCAAGCTCTCGACTTTGAAATAGTTTATAGGATACAACATTTCGATATACTTGTAATCAAGAATGAAAAGCTAGAATTGCTCAGGCCCAACGCTTATATACCCTGCCAAAGCCGAAAAAAAAAATTAATTAAACTTGACTCGTATTGTCATACTGATCAATAATATATACACTTTTGGGGGTCTGCCACGTCTCCTTCTGTGTGTTACATACATTCGCACTAAAACTAGGATACCCTTTTACCGTTTGGGTGCAGGGATTAAAAATAAAATATAATTATCAACACGTAGCGTGTGTATGTGTGTAATACAGAGATGACTCAAAGAAGCAACAGCTACATTTATGGCTATAATTTTCTTAAATATTGACCCATCTTGATGAAACTTAACATGTGTACATTTCATAAACCGGTCATTAAAACAATAAGAAACTTAGTGTTGAGTCTACAAAATATTAATAAGACGTTCGTCAACGTCTGATTAAAAAGTCATTCATTTATCAACAGTTTGCGAATATGGTCATATAGTTACGTAGTGGTAAAAGTTCCAGAACAAAAATGACTGTGTTTAAGGTGTGTAGAAAACACCCACCCGATGTTTGGAAGACACCCACAAGGTACTCATTTTTTACAACCCTTTGAGATAACGGTAATAAGCTTGAAATTGAAATGGTCACATAGCAGTACAAATAAAAAAGCAATATAAAGACAGACATACATATGTATGAAGAAAATTGTGCTTTCTTGAATGTGTCACCCACGCTTTCACTCTCCATCTGAATGACAATATTAGAAAGATCAACCTCATAGCTATTGACAGACCTTGGCTACTCCATGTTTCCAAGGAGTTGTGTAAATTGAAACAATTGTTATTCGCAATGTTATACAATATTTTCACCCAAGGCCTACTTAGTCCGGGGCAGTCTGTTTCTTTGTTTACAAAATTAAAATGAACGAAGCCGTGGGAGTTGGTTGATGGCTAATTTGAACACCTCAATGATTCGTATTACAAACAGGGTATACACACTATTCAAAATTTCTTCCGTCCAAAATATATGCTAAATGCATCGCCTCTATCTTTAAACATTCGATATGCAAAGTAATCGGTGTGGACTCATCTCTTGCAGGGAAATTTTTGAACCGTCTGGGTTGCAAAATTTTATCTGTAGGCTCCTCCGATTCATTAAAATATGTATGTATTCAACAATATTGTGTGCAAAGAAAACCAGAACCGAATATGATTCAATAAAATTCAATTCAATGAAGTTGGGCCTTTCAGTCAACGTCAATCAAACAGTAGTATTATTATGTTATTATTTAGTAGATGGCATGAACGGATTTTGATTAAATTAAAATGAATATTATAATTTACAAAAAACTACGTATGCGAAGCTTAACTTAAATATGTACATAGCTTTGAAATTTCGGGCAGTATAGACGAGATTTTGCAGTGGAAAAAGGAGAGGGGAAAAAAAATCAACTTTCCTAGGAGATAGGAGTGTCTAGATATCAAGTTTGGTAAATGTGGATTCAGCAGTGTCTAGTATTCAGATAAACGGACGGGCATACATACGTGTACACATACAGATAAAATTTCCTTGTCACGATCATTAAGAATATAATTATGTATATAGTTTATGAGATGCTTCCATCTGCCTGTTTCATATGTACTTTCCACAAACTTAATATGCCCCTCAAAAAGAAAAATCAAAACATGAACTATGTTATGAAGAGGAAGTGGATTTGGCGCTTTAAGGTTTGGCAAAGCTAAACAATATACATATACATATATGTATATATTTATCTAAATTTGACATGCATACGCACAGCTACATACATATACATACGTACATATATATGTAACAGTAAAAAGTGTTCCAACACCAACCGGTTTTCGCAATCGTGGTGACTCAGACCAAACAAGACGAGACTACTCAGACCAGACCCAGTCACTGATCGGAGAACGCAACAGCGAAAAGTGTCTGCAATTTAAAGCCAAGCACGAGCTCAACAAAGACAGAGCTCATTATGGGTAATAAATAGACAAAGAACAGTAACGCCGAGCGGCGAGCTGCGAACGATATTCAATTGTGTTTAATTATGATTGCACGTACACTCAGAAATGCACACGAACTGGCGTAGAATAGGAGCCCGCCTGCAAAGCGACCCAAAAACGTGTGCTCTTTATGTGTGGGATGTTTGCAGGTGCCATTTACATGAAATATACATACATAAACATACGTACATACATGAGCACATACATACATATGTATATACATACATATGTATGAATGTGTGTTTGTGTTCGCAGGTCAGGGCTTTGCGGAAACGCCAACGAACTTTAGATATCTCTTCTGTGCTGCAATCTGATGCATGCGTATATACATATGTACATATGTTACATACATACATATGTATGTATAAAGTAACGAGAGAGAATGTAACGGCCTCTTTAGAATACCGACACTGAAATGCTCTGTCAGAAGCAAAAAATAGAAGAACGAAAGCGTCACTGAACGAACAGGGTTGTAAAATATGTTCACTACTAACTGATTTGAACGACATTTTAAATAATATTTATTTAATGTAGCTCTGATATTTAAAACGAATATAAAAACTTCTTGCCTACATATCAAGTTTGGCTAAATTAGAAGGACGGACAGGAAGTAAATAACCCAATTAATAAATTAAAGAATTTTCTGATTGTAGTCACAGACGAGTAATGCTTCTCTAAATAGAAATTATTCCATGAATCATTAAAACCTAAAATGTAGATGGTGTTCTCAACCAAAAGAGTCGAAATGAACCCCACACAAAATGCATTTAATATGGTACCTGATTGAACCTTTGTAAGAAATTGCTCGTGTTTTAAAAATATCCTTCTATTCGTAATACATCGTGGTTTTAATTGGCTTCGTTAAAAAAAATCCAGAGAGAACTGAGCTTCGTTGTTTACTACATACACGTGCACAAATCTGCTATACCCTTTTACCCTTCGATGGGTGCAGCGTATAAAACAAAGAGAGACGAGACGTTCTCCTTCTGTGCTGGCAACAAGCATATCTGTGTGTCCAGCATATACACACATATGTATGTTTGTATGTGTTTGCTTCAAAGAGTCTATGTGAATGTGTTTATTATTACGCACAAGTAAATAAATATTTATATAAGTACATATACATATGTATTTATGTATGCACAATGTTTACAGCGAATGGATAAATAACGGGACAATAGATGCGTACGAATGCGCATACAAACATATGTACATACATACGTACGAATATGAATGTTTTTATGCGATAACAAGTGATATGTGTGCGCATATGTACATATGTATTTAACGACGCAGCCATTCAACTGAATTAAGCAATTGACTCAATAAACACATCCCTACACATATACACATATGTATGTATGTATCTAAAGACAGGCACATCACTTATTTACTCTCTACTTACCAGCAGCAATGCGCGCAATTCAAAGATGCTTGCCGATTTCTTTAGAGCCAATATATGTATGTACATATATGTTTTCACTTGCCCTCAATGCGCCAACAATAACTTCTTTGAAGCAACTGAATATAGTATATGTGTATGCCGCACACACACACACACACACATAGACGTCCCGCACCTGGAGCTCGGGTGAGATTGCACCTTCCTTGGTGACAGTCGAGAGCACCAGTACCTCCACCAGCGCCAATAGAGCCGCAAACTTATCGTATATGTATATGGCTTGTTATTGTATGTATGTTTGTGTCTCTTTCTTGAATGGACTCTGATGACCACGCTCGAATAATAACAACAAATTTTGAAGTAATTGGTTACACTATAAAATTATGTGGCACACGCAGAGACCTTTGTGGATGCGATGTGCGCATGTAGATTATTGGTAAAAATATATATTTTGAGTATTTTGTGTATAATTCCAATGAAATATTAAACTAATTATCAATTGGATAACTTTCAAAATTAACAACTAAATCAAAACCGTCCATATGTACATATGTCTAATGCCTAATTCTGCCAACCAGGTGTATATGAGTTTGTTCGAATTTTTAACGAATTTAATAGGCAACTTGTGTTTGTGTGCGTGAAGTGGAGCGGGCAGTAAAACAGCTTCCAGTGGCCTGCTGTGCATACAAACGTACATACAGAAAAATACATACACACACACATATGTATGTATGTATATTTGTATACATATGATGTGCGGTGTTCTAATTCGAGATAAAGCGGTTTTAACAAATCTGGCCCACTTCCCATAGGTCAAATTTTGTTCCATTACATTTACATTATCTTGCTGGCCCTGCCCCCAGCATTTGTTTAATGCACTTGCGATTTTTTTCTTCTTTGTTGCCGTTGCCTTTGTCAAGTGTTTGGGGCTGGGCTTGGTCGAACGGCAGGCGCCTGCACGCGTTTATTTTTTGAATCATATCACATATCATTCATTTTCACACAAGAACTCACATTTTATTCAGCCTTCCTTGGTTTTGTTAAGCATTATAGTTATGTTTTAATTCAAAGAAGCCTGACGAAGCATTCAAACGCGAACCCCGACAAACTATCCGCATACTAGAGATGGGCGACACCCATGTTCCTGTTACATTGTCACGACAATGACAAAATCACAAGTCACGCAGTGACCAAATCTGCTTAAATAACTCAATTGTTCCCATATCTGCAAAGTGCAGTTATCGATTATCGAAGCAGCTGACCGGTTACCGTTGATTTGTGTGCGAAAAACAAAAACGTTGTTTAACGTGTTCTCTACAAAAACGCAATTGTTGAGCCTTGCCAATAAATTGCATCACAATGCAAATCGGACGAATGAAAAGTCAAATAGTTTTGTAAGTTTTTTAAGTATGCGTGCCAATACACAACATTTTGAATATTTATACTGTTTGTTTAATTTGCGAATTGTTCACAAAATTATTAGGTTTTACAGGAAACCCGTTTATTGTTTATACGATATTTCAAAAACGGAAATATTGGGGGAGCAACCTCAAAATGGTGGCACGGCTGCAAAGTATCAATCGGTCGCATATTAGCCGGGAATTTATTTCAATATAGTACATACATACAATGTATATAACTAATATGCAACTTTAAATTTTATTCCCAAAAGTTGGCCTGATATTTCCTCAAAAAATTGTGAATAATGATATTGAACATTTTAGAGTGTTCAAAATACGACATACTTGCCCAATTAGCCCCCTTAACAATAGACTGGAATGTTTTTTATGAAACAAATCATTTACTTTTGTTTAAAACGCTAAAATTACACAGTTTTTCATTATAACAAATTTTTCTTGGTTTTGTTATTAATGGCATTCCATTGCTCTGTCTTTGTTTTATCAAAACCTACATGTCGTAAAACCTTTACAATTTCGTTCATTCTTAAGAGTTAGCAGAAAAAGCGTATCTGCAGTATGACAAGTAAAGCTTAGTATTCAGTTTATTTAATTTTGGTTTGCTGTTGCTCTTCCATTCCTAGATGGTACAGTTTTGTAGCAACTAAATATATTTATTATACAAATTCAAACACAAGCACTCGGTCCAAAACTTGTGCGTTCACACAATAATTATGTTTCCAAAAATCTAAGAACGAATTTAAAAATGTTAAGGTCAAAAATTTTACTTTTACATTTCCAGAAAGAATTATCTGTACATGCGTGTCAGTTTGGCAGTTTTTCAATTAACAATCATTTTGCCTGACAATGTGTTTTTTTTTTGCTTCAAGATTAACAACAATCAGATGCAAGCTGTGATGTTTTTAATTGAAATTGAAAAAATTTACATATAGTATGCCTTTGGAACAATTTCTTCGACTAACAGACTTGAGGACCCCATACAAAACAAATTTCGCCCCTCAACATAGTTGCAGAACCCAATTAAAATGCATCGAATTCTGCCGCCAAGATGGGAAGATATTTCTTTGTTGTGTATGGGTAGCTCAAAGCTATAATATTAAATAACAAAATTATAATTATGTATGTGGTTGTTATTTAAATTACTGTACGTTTAAAAATAATAACTAACAATAACAGCAGCTTTTCAGCAAACTAATGCAAGTTTTTACAGATTTCAGGTCTAAATCAATTCATTGTTGAGGTTGAATTTAGACAATAACTTACTGCTTCTAGGGACAGGTCTAAGATCAGTTTTCTGGCGACATTCTACTGTCGGTACAATGGATTAAAGTTCTAGAGAACATTAACTCGATTGGAGCTATCAAACTGGTAGTTCCTAGACTTGTGCTGGCTGTATACAATTTGAAGCAAAAACTCCTACAATAATAAAATTAGTTACATTATATTTTTACAGTATACTTAATTGGTTGTTTCTCTTTATCTTTTAAACACTTAACACTCTGCTTGGCCGATAGCTGTGTGGTTGTGGTGTGGTTTTGTGGGTAAGGTGACGGCGATAGCGACGACAAGGACGACGACGACCACGACTACAGTTGTGCAAGCGAATCGGATCGTATTAACGGCGCTAAAGAGCTAGGAGCTTTGTGCCCCGACTCGATCTCGTACTGCACATCAAGCGAGACCCCTGAATGTAATAATGAAGAAATTCAAAATCGATATGAGACATAATCATTTCGTAAATATATTAAAAAGTATCCAATCCACATTTCCACCAGTAATTTCAAAATATTGTCAGCTGTCTTGCTTACGTTTCTTCTCCAGCGCTGCCTGCTGGTTCTCTGGTATAAATATCGCCACAATTATTGCGCAGAAAACGCACAAGGCTCCGAACACAAATGGCGGGCCGGGCACATGCTGTGAAATTCTCTCCACATTTGTGGTGCGATGGTTCCGTTGCGTTGAGGCGAGTTCGTCAGTTAAGTCTACATTGAATAGGTAGAAGATTACACCAAAAACCGCGGGACCCAGTCCGTTGCAGAGGCCACGCATGCCGGTGATCATGCCCTGCACAGCGCCTGTGTATATAATTGGAAACAAATCAATTACCTTGCAGCATGGCAGCATAATTAAAAATGAAACCATTGCCCACCTTGACTCTCGGGTGCTGCATAAAGGGAGACAAACGCGCTGATTGCGGGATACGTAATGGAGCCTAAGGCAGCCACAACGCCGGCAGACCACATCATCCTATAAAAATCAAATAGTGTAATGAAGGAACAGAGATCTGCACTAGCAGGACCTACCATTTCTGACTACCGAAGCCGTACCAAAGCATCTGTATCATTTCCAGAGCCAAACCCACAATAATTGTTCGCTTAGCACCAAAGATTCTGTAAAGGACGAACGTCATATTTAGCCGATTTCAGTATAGGTTCGCTATCCACACCCACTTACGACATAAACGAGCCGAGGGTCACTTGCACGGTTATGCTCAGAATGCCGACTATTGCTATGAATATGGATACCTCCACATAGTTGAAGCCCATCTTCAACTTTAGGTAGACAAACATACAGGAATACTCCCCGGCCTCGGGCAGGTAGGACAGCAGAACGGTAAGGCAGAGCATCAAAACGGTCTTGTCGGTGCCCACCCGACGCAGCGCCTGAAAATGTCATTTAAATGCTGTAGATTAATGGAGCGAATGGTATGATTCAGTATCGTACCATAAACGGATCCGCCTGCTCCCAGCTTATAGGAGCACCCCAAGTAGCCGGGCGCATCTTTTCCGATAAGCTTTCGGGCACCGCGACTAAGATAAAGAGCACATCCAGCACCGCTATGGCTGTGGATAGCGCCACCACTAAGGTGTCGCCATACATGTCCATTAAGGCATTGCCCAGCGCAGGAGATATGACCAAGCTAGCGGCAAATGTGGCCGACGCCAGACCATAGGCCTTGGAACGTTCCTCCACAGTCGTAACATCGGCCACGTAAGCAAACACCACTGAAAAGGTGACGGCGAACGCACCACTAATTGAGATCATAGCAAAGAACCACCAGGTGTTGATCGACATCAGTGGAATGGGAAGGCATGTAAAGAATACTGTAACTAATAGGAAAAATTTGCGACCCCAAATGTCTGATAGCGCCCCAATTAGCGGCGCTGCCAGGAATGATAATATGCCTTTGATGCCCATTACGAGGCCGTTCATGAGAAATGTGTGATCTGGAAATGTTTGGTTCAGCGTCTGGAAAAGTTTCAAAACTCAAATTATTAAACGTTCTTATACATTATGTACATGTATCCAATTGGAATACATACCGATATTATGGGCATAGTTAGCAGGCCCCACGCAAAGAACTCTAAGAATATCACAACCAACGCATGGTGCACACTCGGTTCCCCAATGCCGGAGCTCTGTAAATAAACATCAGATTGAGATTTCAAATCTTATTGCCTTATTGCGCTATTCAGTTAACACCTGTATTTGTTTTTGGTAAATAGGTTTTACTACTTATATGTACATATGTATGGGTTTTGTTATTTCCAATTAGTTTCAAGTTCAAACATATGGTACACAGTATTTGCAGAGCCACACATATAAACACCATAAAGTTGGCTTGGGTCCATAAAAATAACCCCCTGTTCTGGCACTAACATTTAGAGCCTACAGGCCCCACATAAATACCAGACCTTTAATGACTTTGGAACGATTTCTTTTGGGTGTTTGGCATACACGTAAATACCTTCTAGAAAAAGTTGCTACTATGTTTGCTGTCTTTCTATATTTATATATTTTTTACAGCAACAGTATTATAGTCCAGAAATAATATCCCAGACTTGTGCAGTCATACTTAAGTACAGCTAGGACGATAAATTGTTTAATTGTTTGGCACAAACTCTGACAGTATGTCAGGCAATATTTATCAGATAAGTCACGAAACTCTCTAGAGAATTTGCCTTTGGTTAGCAAATCGTCGGCAAACCCCGTCGGTGTCGTAAAACGTCAAAAGATTGCATTTCTGGACGAATAAAAGTTATGTTGACTATTTATTGTCATTTCATTTGCACTTTTTTAACTAACTTAATAGAGTTATATTTCTGTGATTGTGGATTATCACTTTTAATACCATCAAACATGGGTTTAGGATTGGATTGCATGAGTGACAGATTCTAAAATTTCACCAAAAATTAAAAATCGGTAAGACTATGATGGGTTACGATGTCAATAATAAAGAAACCTTTTGGCTTTTGCACGGACTGTTCCCATAAAAGATCTAAGTTATCGTACTCTGATTTCAATGAAACTTCACAAAATAGAGATACATTTGAAGAGTTTGGTTACGACATTGAAAAAACCAAAGAAAGTATTGTTACCAAGATTAAGTTTTCACATAATATTTAATAAACTTGGATGGGTCTGGAATGTTATGGGTGTCTAGCTGTTATGGTTCAAAGGTGCTCGAAGTTCGTACAGACAGATAGAGATGTCTATAGCATGGGCTCTGTCGAGCGTTCTTCAACTGCCTCTCCTCTATATTTCGACTTCTTTGCATAGTTAATAAAGAATGGAATAAAGCCAAACACTATATATCTTAGGTATTATAAAAACAAACCCTCGAATACTATTCCTAATTCTATCATGCACCAGGCCGCTTAAACAAATTAGTATATTAACTGTATTTCAATTATGTTGAAAAGTAGGCTGAATGAGGAATGAAAACGGAACAAGCCGAGCTAGGCCTGCTTTAACCAGTTCCCATTAGGAAATGGACAACTTCTTGGCTGATAAGGTAATGTTTTTTCGGGGCATAACAAACCTTGCAACAGCACATGCGGCAGAAGACGCGGATCCATTCAAAGAAACGATTTCGGCGAGGTGGCTGATGCTGTTGGCCACTCGGCGATACGCCCAACGAACGTACCGAGATGTAGGAGGTGGCCGAGTGGACGCGCCGGTGCGTAGGTGTGCCGGGAACAATGGCACCACTAGCCGGACCCACAAGCGACTCGGCAAAGGCGGCGCTTGGATGGGCGGCATGCCGCGAGGACTGCAGAGTCAGAGAATTAGCATTGCTAACTAAGCAGAGCGATGCTCCCCTTACCGTCGCCACATTGTCCAAATCCAGCATTTCGCCAGTCCCACTAGCCGTCGTGCTGGTCGTGGCTATCGAAGTGGAGAGATTGTCTTTATCTTCGATGCCCGTGGCTGCCACTGCCACTGCGTCTGCGGCTGATGGAATAACACGTAGAGCATTGTGGGTTTTTAGTTGCGAATGACGCTTAATGAGTTGTCCGATGGAGCTGCTGGCGGCTCGCTTCGCATTATAGGCCGGCGATAGGGCCACAGAGCTGACAGTTTCGAGATCGGCCGTGGTCGGCGTAGAGGTGCTGCTGTGAGTGCTTTGGGTGTCTGTGTGCTCGCCGAGATCGGGCTCGAGTTCGTCCCTGATATGGTGTAGGCGTCTGCTGCTCTCATCCAGACTGCTGCCGGTCTGGTCCGCATCCTGCGCGGCCTCCTTCTTTGTGTGCATTTAATCTCTCTGTCCGTTCGTCTGCTCGAATTATTCGATTGCTGTGCTCCTCTGGAACTTGTCGCCTCTCCCCCCTTGTTCTTATGAATTTCGCTCGATTTGTTCAGTTGTTGTATCACTATTAATTCCATTTCCACGAATCCCCATTCATGCTACAGAGAGTTGTTGGCTTTGTTTTGGGCTTCCAGGCAAAGATCACAGGCGCACAATTCTTCTTCTCTCCTCTTCGCTCTTTGCTTAACGCTTTAGCGCGTCTCTTCTTTCCTTTTATCTTATCATTTGTTTGGCTGACAGATTGCGAACATCTGCCTACAAACGTGTGTTATGCTTGAACTTTATGGGTTAGGCACTTCTTTTTAGCTGCAGTTGTATAACCTCAGCTCTTTTATTTATCCGCTCTTTCACTTATGTTTATCTCTCTGGATTTTGGTCGTAGCTGGAAGACTTGCTCGAGCTATGCTCAAGTTTTGCGAGTTGACTTATTTGGCGGGCGATTAGTGGACCCAGCTAAGTTATAAACTACAAAAGATTGTCAATTATCTGTGTGCTGTGGAAATTGAGGTCTCGAGCAGTTAAGAGGCAAACTGAACTGAAAACCTAACAACAACAAAAATTAACAGCAGAGCTTTGCATTTAGAAGCATTGTTTTGAAGATTTACAAAACTAGTCGGACTCTGTTTGTTTTTTTTGTTGTTTTTTATTACCTGTATGGCCTGTCAAGGGGGCAGTGGAGGCGTGGCTCGTTTACTTAACACAATTTACACTTCCCAGTTCAACTGGAAGACGAACAACGCACAATATAGAGGATTGGACTGATGGAGCAGTATTATGGTTATGTAAACCAAACGGCATCTCAATTTTGACAAAAATGTAAATCGTGTTTGACAAAAAGTTTTTCTCTTCTCTTTCATTTAATACGAGTACATATACTCAAATTAGAATCTTCAACGACAACAACGCGATCGCCTCCCAACAGACAGACCCATTGCCCGTATCGCACTGACACCGAAACTCAAATGGAATGAAAATTTGTTGTTCTACAGATGACGTATTCGGCACAAAAGCACCAGCAACAACAGCAACAACAACAACAACAGGGAACAGCAGCAGAGATCGTAGCTAGAGACTGCGGCTGAAGACTGAGAAGAAAACAAACACTTAATTTGCATACGAACTAGAAGAGTTCCAAATTTTATGCGCCGGTCAATTAAACTTTTCAAGTGGCAGGCATTGAAATCCGACCAGCGGATATATAAAGATGAAAATACATATGTGATGTGTATATGGATACATATACACTTTCATGGGGCAAGAAATTAGTAGTAGGAGCTTCTACAACATACTCTTAAAACGTGGTTAGGAGCGCACGCGATAAGATTTTAGCTTTGCGAATGAAATATGACCAAAAACACTTCAAAGAAGAGATTGGAAATCTATGAAAAAAACAATCATTAAAAATTAATTTTACAATTGGGATAAAGCTTTAATTAATTCATACTTTGTTAATAAGCTGTTCTGATTTTTGAACAATAGAAGGCTTCACAAACTGAATGTGAGACTAAAATCACAGCTGCCTTTAGAATTTTGAAGACAACAAAAGACTATAGAAAGAATAAATCTGTGAGTAAACTGAATATGAGATAAAAGTGAAAATTGACTTTAGAATTTCCTTTCCAGAAAAATGAAGACAACAACAGAGAAAGACAATATAAAGAATAAATTTGAGAGTAAACTGAATATGTGATAAAAATGAAAACTGCCTTTAGAATTCTGGATCTAGAAAGATAGCTGAAAAACACTATATAAATCTAAAAACTGCAACAAAGACAAAAAATCGAATATGAGTTCGTCGGCGTTGAAATACAGACTTGCAAAATGGAAAGTGACAAAGAAACTCTATTGATTTATTTATTTGCACACTGCCTGCGGCTGTTGTCGCAGTTGTTGCCATAAGTTTGCCTTATTAGATGTGATGGCGGTCAGGGACATGCAGACACATATATATCTTATGTACTATATGTTGGCATGTATGTATTTACGGTTTTTGGAAACAATCCAAAGGCAACAAATTGTTCTGGAATGTCCGGGGAATGTTGAGAATTAGATTAAAAGAAGGCCAACTAGGCAGCAACGAAGCCATATGCATATACACTGCGTGACAAAAAATGATGCAACCAGATGGAAGGAGATTAGACAGCCCCAGTCAGTCCGTCAGTCAGTCATTTACTCAGTCAGTTAGTCAGTTAGTCAGTCACTCAGTCCGTCAAAGGTGGGCATAAAAAAGCTGGCTTGGAGGTTTCGTCTTTTGCCAAGGTCGGGTGGGCGAGTGTGGCTTTCATCGCATCATCGCTGCAATTTTTTGTTTTCTAATGCCAATATGCCCATGCGAATGAGAAAGTGAAAGAGAGAGTGCGGGAGAGAGAAGATTGACCAACGCTTTAAAGTTTAGACAAACATTACTCATACGCAGTGTTGGCTTCCAAAGCAACTCAACCATCAGATTAAATAAATGATGTTCTTTGTAATCTATTGATTCCGTCAGCAATGTGTTATGTACATATACAATGTACATAATATGAATTTTATATACATATGTATGTAACACAAACGTTAGTTGGGGGTTTAGTTTTGCATAACAGGCATAATGGGATTTCATTTTGTTTAATGCCTCATATTGTCACGATTTAATTATTATATATCACGGAACTCTATTTATTACATTTATATTGTCGCAATTCACATTCACGTTGTTAAATATCTATATTTTTAATGATTTTTAAATCATAATATTTTTGCATAATATGCTTTTTTCTTTGCACACAGTCCGCGCGAAAATATTGTAAATCTACGCACAGCAAAGCAGTCGAAAAGGAATATAAACAATTGAAGAACTAAAAGTTACAACAACAATAAATTGTTATAATTTTTTATGTACCGAAGGCAACGAAAACGACAACGCGACAACAAAATGTGAACAACACATCCTCGTGCCTTTTCTCAATGAGCTGGAAAGTGACTGCCTCGTATTGGTAATGAAAACTTTTCCTTCGTTTTGTACCAATTTTTTGCACGCGACAGCCTGCAAAGCTTAAATGGGTGAGCTTTTTCGGTATATTCAATGGCCGATATAGTATATAGAATATATATATACCCCTATGTAAGCAATTCTGTAGTAAACAGAGTAATGGACGGCGAAACCTCTGGAGAAAGTGTGTGCAAATTTAATTCAGAACTATCTCCAAAAGAGAGAGAGAGGCAAGAGAACAGCATAGAGAACTATGATGTAAAATTGTGATAAACAATTGCTTTTCATACTCTACTTTCACTTCACATCTTTTATCCCATTTCACTTTCAGTACTTGACTCCAAAGACATGCATTTTCACGGCACCCTTTTTCTCAGCAACAATACTTGGGTTTCTTGCCTGCATTTTCATTTTGATTGTTGTAGTTGTTGCGTGTTCGTGTCCCGAACCCACGCATGAGAGCTTTTCATTTTAGACAAACTACAACGCTCAAAAGCTTAGCTATGTAAGTTAACCGACTGTTTTCTTCTCTTCGGCTTCGTTTTGGCTTCTCTCATATGTTTATTGTGTGTGTGTGTTGCCGCTAAATTACAATTATTTATTAAGTCCAGCACATATAAAAGTAATTAGATCTTGTGACGTTCTAATGACATTAACATTAAATGCCTCCAAATTGGGTGACTCGAACATCAATTATGTATAAAAACAGCAGTAGTGGATTACGCCCGCTTCTGGGGTATCCCTCAACCAATTGGGGTGTAATTTTATACATTAACATCATTATATCAGCCTTAGCATTGAAGAATGAAGGATTAGGCTGAAGAGAACGAGGGTTTCCTAATAACATAATAAATGAACTTTCGAATGATAAATATTTTATTTATTTTAAAGAATATTAAAATAAATAAAAACTTAAAATAACTTCTTCGTTTCCTTGAATAATTAGCTATAGCCGTGGATCTAAATACTACATAGGACTAGTTAGCAGGGGCGTTTATGATTCCAACCGAGCTCTTGCCCTCAGACAATTATCACTATAAGCCGGATATATTTATTTGGTACTTACGCCTTGAACGCATTCTATATCCCTTTTGCATAACCATCTCTTAGGAATATAAAATTTATGAACCAGGGAGAGAATTCAGATTAACTTGTCTAATTAACTCCAATAAACGGAGCCTTGGCGATTTCCTTGTGACAAACGTTGGGCGGCCAAATAATTCTGAAGAAGTAACTTAAAATATTTCCAAAACAAAAAAAAAAAACTCGAATAAAACCAGCTAGCTTACAATACCTTATATTTTGGAGTACTTTGTGGACACCTTGCGATATCTGAATAGGTTTATACAACTCTACTATGACAATCGTGCTTTATAATTAATAATCAGGACTGCTGATAACCGATACCATATATCTGAACATATTAGTCTCACACACACATACATACATACATACATATTTGAATCTTATCCATCAATCTTGGTAACTAAAATTGTACATTCCCATATGTAATAGAATGCGCCACAGTTTATGATTATGATTCATAAAGTCGGGCGCCGAATACGACTAATGGAACTGATAAGGCACCATCAGCCCGCGTATGGGGAGTGGGATCGTCGTAGAGGTATGGGATTGTTTGTGGTTACTTACTGTGACAACATCGCTTTTGTGCGCTCGGTTGCGTATGACAATTCCCGCCAAGGGTTTTTTAACGTAAATTTTCGGCATCTTGGTGGCTCGTTCTGAGGACGCCACAGTAGCTAAACGTGGCTAATAGAAGCACTTGCAGCGCGTATGACGCGCGAAATATCGATAAACAAGTGTATGCTTCTCTTTAAACACTAGTTCGTACATAGGGTGTGGGGGTGGTGTAATTTATTTATAATTATTTCACAGCGACAGCGACGAAAACGAAATGCACTAGCTGCCTAATATTTGGCAAATTCTTTGGTGGCGACAGCACATTCATGCCTGTCTTGTTTCACTTTTGTTGTTGGCCGAAAAGGCAGCACCCAATGTAGTTAGTCCCGAGCGATAATTGTGCAATAAAATACTTAAATTGCTTAAATTCACTTAGAATTTTATGCATTCGTAAACGCGTACCTATATATACGAAGAAGAACGCTTCGATGCTAAAAAATACCAAAGAACACGCCACAGCTGAGCCGTAGGGTTGCCAATATCAATCAGTTCGGCCGAAACCATTTTATTACATCGATATGTGATTAATGTTATCCATGCAACAGTATATAATCACACCACTAGCTATTGTAAACGGTAGGCGGCAGCTCTGTGAATCAAAATAATAGACGTTTTTTCTTACTGCTTGAATGAAAACGCAAATGTGCCGCATACGCATCTGCGTTGAATGACATTTAAGTAAGTCCAATGAGTCCAATGAGAGTACACTTAATAATCTATACTTTATAGTTTTGCACGTTGAAAATGGTACGCGTTTTATTTCTTCACCCTGATTTGGGGATCGGCGGCGCCGAGCGGCTGGTTGTCGATGCAGCTCTTGCGCTCAAGGAGCGTGGCCATCACGTCAGTTTCCTGACGAACCACCACGACAGCACGCACTGCTTCAAGGAAACAGCCGACGGCAGTTTTCCAGTCGAGGTTGTGGGCGATTGGCTGCCACGTAAGCTTTTCGGACGATTCTATGCCTTCTGCGCTTACCTCCGCATGTTGTATGCCGCCTTCTATGCCAGTTGGTTTATGGCTGGACGCGAGCAGGTCGACGTGGTATTCTGTGATTTGATTTCGGTGTGCATACCCGTTCTCCGTATGGCGCGCCATCGTCCGCGTGTCCTTTTTTACTGCCACTTTCCGGATCAGCTTCTGAGCACCCGCGAGGGGACGCTCAAACGAATTTATCGTGCGCCACTCAATTGGCTAGAGGAGCGAACTATTGGAATGGCCGATAAGGTACTGGTGAACTCGAAATTCACGTTGCGCGTTTTCCAGGACACATTCCGTCGGTTAAGTATTGTGCCTGATGTCCTGTATCCTTCCATACACACACAGTACTTCGATCAGATAGAGCACAAACTAGAGCAGCGCTCCAGCGTCGTCGATGTGCCTTTGCACGCTCGTGTGCCGCGTAATTCCTTCATTTACTTGGATATCAATCGCTTTGAGCGCAAAAAGAATCACGCCCTTGCCCTGCACTCTTTGCGCCTCCTGGGTAACATGCTGCCGTCGTTGGACTTCAAGCGCTGTCGGCTGATTATTGCCGGTGGCTACGATACACGCTGTTTGGAGAATGTCGAACACTACGCTGAGCTGGAGCAGCTGACGGCCGAGCTTGGACTGCAGGATCACGTAGTCCTGCTGCGTTCGCCTACAGACGAGGAGAAGTGTCGACTGCTATATGCGGCACATTGTTTGCTCTACACGCCGGAAAATGAGCACTTTGGCATCGTGCCGCTTGAGGGGATGTACTTCTCGAAACCCGTAATTGCTCTTAACAGCGGCGGACCAACAGAAACAATCGTACATACATCTACGGGCTTTCTGTGTGAACAGAATGAGAAAAGTTTTGGTGGCGCCATGTATCAGCTTTTCCGTGACGAGGCCTTGCGCCTCAAAATGGGCGATCTGGGACACAAGCGGGTCCAACAGAAGTTCTCTTTTGAAGCGTTTGCGAACAAACTAAACGAGATTGTGAAGGAGATGATTCCTACCAGCGCCCAGCAAAAGAAATTCGACTAGACTTTGTTATTCCATTATGGTTTCGTGTATTAAATGATTTGCTTTTAGACAAGAATTAAGATGCTAACTAGAAAAAGGAGATACAAACGCGAGAGTCTACTCATCGCGCATGTACAGATACAGATAGCCCAGATCTTTGGGCGGATTCTGCGACTTGGCCACCTTGCTGTCATTAAAGATGACCCATTCACCCTTCTTCCGGATGTGGCAGACATAATGGCCGACTTGAGCTGAGGTTCCCATGTGCGAGATGAAAGCCACCAGCTTGTATCTGCCAATGCCATCGCGATAATTGGTCGTGGCCGGCTCGGACGAGGCAGTCGTGTCAGCAACGGTTGGGGCGGTCTCTACAATGCTGTCGGCGTGTGAAAAAATCCAGTCGGTGGCGCGCTCCACATTGCCATCGGTGGCCTTCAGAGCTGTTACAGCCTGCAGCTCGTCGAAGCCCATGCTCATGAGCATGGCGAGACTCTCTGGATTTGCAACGAAACAGTCGGCGGCGCCGTCACCGATCGATTGATTGTTGGGCACAACAAATGGATCGGATATGTCTGGATCGGCAATGTGCTCCATTAGCCAGTTGGAGGCGGCTTCCAGGCCAATGTTTCTAGTATGGAAACACGCGCGCTTACAGGCCTCCTGTGGGTACCCCATATTAAGGAGCTCAGACAAGACGTTCTCGTCGAAATCAAACTTTGGTTGTTCCGCCGGTGGCTCCGGCAAGGGCTCCTCACCTGGCTGCAGGCCGCCCGTTGAGCGCCAAGTGCAGAGATCCAGCTCATCAGGCATGTCCACCGACACGTCCAGTTTTTTAGGCACCCAATCATCGCCGAGCGTAAATTTGGCCAAATGAATCATTAGAAAATCGGGCATGGTGGCAAGTCGCGTAGACTTCTTAGCATTGGTTTTGCCATTAATGGCAGTCGAGTAGAACTGCTCGATCAGTTCGTTGCCGAAAAAGCGCTCCAAACAGGCCTGCAGCGGGACTTTATGACGTACAATGTCTCGATCGACGGGTCGCTGGCCACGGGACTGCGCTGCCTGCACGCGATCCTGATATTCCTTTACTTCGTCTAAATTGGTGGCTTTCTCTAGCGGTATCGTCAACCGCAAGCTAGACTCCTCCCGCGTCTTGTACTTCACCTTACGGCTACTCATGCACTCCACACGATCCTCCAGCTGGAATTTGAGAGCATCTCCGGGATTGAATTGATTGCGGGAGTTGCGATCGAGCAGCATGAGCAGATGCAAGTAAAAGTCATTGGCATCCTGTTGCTGTTTGGTGCTGAAATCCGGGTGATTCTTTCCCACAATGCTCTTGAACATGGCCGGCGAGATGCCTGTCAGCTCCGAGTCCAGAGTGTTCTCCGCAATGCTGCTATACTTTCCCGATTGCAGGCCATTGCCCAGCTTGGCCATCTGAATGTTAAAATCGTTAGCTGGATCGTTTGGGAATTCGTTAAAGTAAGTCTCAGCCCCGTTTCCAACGAAGCGCTTCTGAAAATCGGGTATTACGAACAACACTTGCATCACGCTGTTAATGTAGCATGAGTTGCCCAGATTGCGCATTCCTGTGTAGCCGGGTCCAGCCAGCGGCTGCAATTCGCTATCGCTCTCAGTCAGTACCGACCATTCGCCGATCCGCTGGTTGATCTCCAACTCGAGTTCTACCATTGACTTCTCACTTTTCTTCATGGCCGCCATGTTTATACCGAAGTGGGCTAAATGCTTCTCAAGATAGGGATCGAGGACCATATCATCCTCGGGATATGAGAACACGTCTGACTTTCCCTCGGCAGTGATGGTGCCCAGCTTAACGGCCAAAGGATAATTCGTCTCCCTGTAGTGTTCGATGGCGTGGTCGTTGCCACCGCTTCCGTCAAAGAACTTACGGCCGCACAATATGGAGCCATCGGTTAGGTTGAGCCACAAGTTGTTGGTCAGATCACATTTTTCGCATTTCCAACCGGACGGCGGTATCTTCTTGCCATTGCCCAACTGCTGCAGATTTTCTGCATATTTGGATGTCTGGCGTACCTCGCCATCCCATGTGCCTGCATCAGAAAGGTGATGAGTCATAATCGAACTCAGATGATCAGTTAACTTACCCGTCAACGTGGCCTTCTCCAACTTAGCAATGGCGGAATCAGCTGCAAGTATGGCCTCTACGGATTGTGTGACGCGCATGGGTAAGTCTTGATCCGGAAAGGGGATCTTTTTATCGATAGCCGGCGCTACAACAATGCTATACGTGTCCTTAATCTCGTACTTCTTAGCCATATCAGTCTCATTGTAGCCGCCTTCAACGCCAATGGCGAGGCGTGTTATTTTCCGCTCCGGTTCGGCCTCTTTGCCGGCCTCCTCTTTCTCGGCGTCGCTCTCCCCCTCCTTAATAGTCTTCTCACGTTTGATGTGCAAGAACACATTGTTTCCCGACTTTCGGGCATACTCCCGCACATATGCCTCCCCAAAGCCTAGGAAGCTGGTTAGACTCACATAAAGTCCAGTCGGCGTCTCTGCATTATCATACGAATAAACACATTCGTCTTTGTAGATAACCGCATTGCCGCAAGGGACATTTATTTTTGACAAGTTCTTGCGCAGCTCCTCCATGGAAAGGCTCAACCGTTGGCCGTTTGTAGAGATGAAAAGAGGATTTTTTGCCGCTGACAGCTCACCAGGGTTTTTTCAAGCTTTAAAATTTTTTAAATGCAAAATTACTCGGCAAAATGCTGGCTAGAGGTGAGCAAAGGCCAGGTTTGTAGTTGTGAAGCAAGATATCGTTGTCGCTTAGTTCGATATTTTTCGATTGAGCTAAATCGACTTTGGCTGACATCGTATAGTAATCGCAGCCAACTTCATTGTATATTAAATATTTGGATTATTTTCAAAACTTAAAAATTGCCGTGGGCGTTATATTTATTGTCTTAGCATAATTTTCTCTAAATACGTATACAGGTTGCCGTATTTCAATTAAATTTTGTTATTTCAAAGTTTGTTTGCAAATCACGGCGCTTCTGCAAAACTATTTGGTATAAGAAATGCTTTTTAGTTTAGGTTCTGTGAGACGAGCTATGAAGTCATTTCGTTTGTCTACAATATCTTTTAGAGTTTTGACCCATTCAGAATATTCCATTATGTTTTTTACTTCGCAAACCACATCTGATTCAGTGGGGTCCATTGACTTCAAAGAGAAAACATGACCTCCAAGCTCCTCGATTTCCATTTTATTGAGCTGCAATTAAAATTGCGGAATGTTATTATATTCCGGAAAAAATATAGATTTCTTCAAATTAACCTGAATATGAGAACGATACTTGAACTCAGGATTTGAGAACTTTCCCTTAACCTTCTTTGTCTTGGCAAATATGATAATCTGCTGAAATAATAACGCGTGCAAGTCGTACTTCTTCCGGTCCCCATAAAATTTGCAAATTAGAGGTCCTTGCCTTAAAAATCTGCCCTGAGCCGTTAAATCAGCGCCAAAGTCCTCCAGTCCTTCCAGCACTACCCTCATATTATCCACTGCCCGACTCACGGTCAATAACTTTGTTCTGGTCTGCTCCAAGAGTTGCAGATCTTCCTGTAGCCCCGCCTTTTCGGAGTACTTAGATATCTCTTTTATAATAGGTTCATATTTGGGTAGCCGTTGGACGGGCTTGATAAGTAGGCTGGGAAGCTGCAGAATAAGTTATCTATTTTAGTGAAATAATCACAAACAAAGCACGACTAAAAAAAGTTCGGGATCAGTGAGGAGTACGTACATATTGTTCGTATCCCAACTTCTGGCGTATCTTATTAAAATAGTCTTTGTGCTTCTCAACTAGGAATTCCGATAGTGGATGGTTGCTGCAGTAATAAGAATACATATTAAACTTGGCTTGAGAGCGATTTATCAATGGACCCAAAGTCGTCGGTGAATTCAGGCAGTTCTGCAGACCCTTTAAAAAGAAACTGTGTGGGAATTATTGCAATATCCATTGTGTTTAAATAAATATTACTACTCACTCCCTGTGCCACTCGTAAATGTCGTTGATATTATTAAATATCAAGTTTTTTTTAGAACCTTTCAGATCGTCGGGCAAAGGTATTTCATTTTTGGGATCTTCCATCTCTACCATATACCCACTAACAATCTGATTGAGATATTCCACATAGACTTTTTCTGAATCAATAAGTTCTTTTATAGCACATTCGCGAAGACGTAATGCCTTCAATTGTTCATTACTAGCGACCGACGGCGCCTGTAGAGTGGCAAATGAGCAATTCAAAATTCTAGTATACAAATTTCAGATCTCTGTGCTCACCACTGTATTGAGGATTTCTTTGGGAATCTCCATAGCACTAGAAAACCTTGGTGGAGGTCAAGCCCGAAACTGTAACTTTTGTCTTTAATGACTCACAACGAAAATATATAACTATATAAAATACTAAATATTTCCTTCCACCTTTCACTGCTTTCCTTGGCTGCTGCCTGATTACTGTTTAGAAATGTATTTGTTTCTACTTACTACAAGTAATGCCCATTTAAATGACTGTTTCCCCCAGTCACCCCAACCGCAAACTATTAATAAGCATATATAAGCTGATGTAAAATCAAGGCGTGGTCGAACATGCCACTAACTTGTTTTAGTTATACTTGTATTAATTAAAACCAATAAGAATTCTAAAAAATTCGGGATTAGTAGGCAGTTAGTAAGTCGGCCAAAATATTATTGGCGTTAGTAAGTCGGTCCAAAATATTGTTGGCGCATTGCACTTCTTATAAAATGGTAAAAGGCGTATCCTTAGGTACACATTTGCCTTTTGAGTGAGTGGGATATAAGCTTGTCAGATAAGAAGCTTCTCGCCAAAATTCCAAAACCAAAATGTATGGTATCAGAAATATTTCTATATTGAAGTGTGTTTAATTTTTGTTTTGACGGTACAGTCCTTATATTTAAATACACATTAGCCACGTTTGCTTTATTATTATTTATTCACTTTGATAATTTTAAATTCAGATTACATTGTGTATATTTTTATTTGGATATACATACATTGTTCTTTGTTTTCGGTTCTTTCTTACGCCTTGCTGTTGATGTTACTGTTTTCTGTTCAGATACCGGCGCCCCGCTGGCCATTGATTTGTTCTTACGTGACTAAAACACAGACTAACACGTGTATTTATTAATTAATAATTTTTTGGTTTCTTCTCTTTTCTTCTATGCTGCTGCTTGTTATTGTTTTTTGCATCGTAATTGTATAACTATGAATATATTAATTTTGTCATCAATATGCGGGGGTACGTGTACGTGTATTTTTTGTGTTACATTCATTTAAATTCAAAAACACACATTTAAATAGTCACAGTTATCCTAAAAAATTACACGTCGTTACGCCATGGCTTACTATACTTACCTTTGCGGAATTAAACAGTTAAGATATAAGTATGTATATAACAACAATTAGTATAAATGATTAGTCGAAACTAAATATTTTACATATACATGGCATATATGTATGTACATACTCGTATGCACCCATAATTAGGTTTCAAATTATTATTTTGTTAGATGTTTAGGGCAAGGGTCACAATATATGTATCTACTTGTATAGAGACTCGCGACTGTGCGTCAAAATTTAACTCAAGTTGTCGAAAACTCTGTATGGGAAACCAAGCAGTATGGTACAACTTCATTTGAAGTTTACAAATGTCTGTGTATAAATAAAATCAAATCCTGGTCCTTTGTTGTTATGTGCTTTTCTTGACTGATTGAATATGACTGTCATATCACATGCATATACTATATGTCCGATCGAGGCTTTAACTTGCATTTCATTTCATTTCATTTATAATGTTCGGTTTTTCTTCGAATATCTTTGTCTTTGTGCTAAATTTGTTTTTGCTGCAACAGCTGAACAATCGCTGCAGTGTCTGTGGCGGATATTAATCTTATCAATTTGCCTAGGAGTGTATATCCGACGAATGTAAACAAAACTCATATCTCCGAATGTTTTAAGTATGCTTGCTTCAGACTAATTTTAAAGCCTATATTTTATTTTTTGTAAAACATTAAACACAAATACATTTCCTTATATATTCATAGTTTTGTTTGTTTTTTGTTTATCTTTTTTATACATGCCGCTCACTCTATTAATAGAATAAAACGAGTCATACTTAACATATTGCACGCATTACGCGCACTTAGCAATAAATAATAATAGTAATATTATGTGTAATAATAAAAATCACTGCCGTGCTCTGCTAGTGTGCCACACTTAGGTTCCAAGAGTAAAATAAAATTATATTTAAATAAACTTAGGCATTAAGAATTAATGTGTAGTTATTAAATGCAAATTAAAATTTAATTTTAAATTATAATCCAAGTTGATTGCTTTTGATATTGTTGAGTAGTTGCTGTTGGCGCCGAAGGCAGGGCTTACAAAAACTAATTTTGATTCTTGAAAATATACAAAAACAACAAAGAAAGGGGAGAAAACAAAATTAAAATACATACTCCGAGTTATAATAGTGTTTATCGCTCTGGAAACCATACGTAGAATTCATTTAGATATTACTTTCTGCAGCTCAGTTTAGTATTTTTAGATTTCGGAATTATTAGCTTTTGGTCAAAATAAAAAGGGGGAACGTTCAACGCAATGTTTCACGAAATTACAAAAGTTATAGCATATATAATACTTATAGTTGTCGAACAAAATACCATTTAATTAAACTACGACTTGAGTATGTTTCCGGGGTATGTGCCAAAGACAAAAACACATGCACATACTATACAGACAAAGGCGAGGCAAGTGCGCTCTCTCTCTCTATATATATATATATATAGATATATAACTGATAAGTCTAAGTATTTTTTTACAATATCATTTTTGAGTTTTAGTGTCGGTCGGTTGTTTTATTCCCCCAATATGCTTTGGAATCAAACTTGTTTTCACTTTTGTGTTTTCATTTGTTTCATTTGGTACTCAATAGGGCTGGAGAGCGCGAACATCAAATCGTTTTGCTTCTCCAGTATCTCATTTAGTTTGTTGACCCATTCGGAGTAGCGCTCCGGCGTCGACGCCTGACACAGCATATTCAGATCAGGTCGATTGGGGTCGGTTGACTTCAGTAAGAAACTGTTATCGCCGCGCTCCTTCATTTGCATTTTGTTCACCTGTCGAGACGAAGACATTGAAGAAATTAGTCTTCGCATAGTTTATATACAAGTATGTAGTTTAATGTGATTACCTGTATGTGCGAGCGATACTTGAATGTGGGATTTGAGAACTGCGTCTTCACCTTCTCAATGTCGGCAAATATGATGATTTGCTGGAACAAAAATACCTGCAGCTCGCGTTGTTTCTGAGTCGCATCGTTTACGCAGGTTAGGGGACCCTGCAGAATCAAATTTCCCTGTGCGGTGATTTCGCCATCAAAGTCCTGCAGACCACGCAGCACCAGCATCATGTCGTTCACCGTCTTCACCACAACCTTCATTTGTTGGTAGGCCTCCTTTAGAATGACCACCTCCTTGTGTAGCCCAGCACTCTCCGTTGCCTTCGTTATTTCTTTGATCAGCAGCTCGTATTTTGTGATGCGCTGCACGGGCTTGATGATCAGATTGCTCAGCTATATTGTTCATATGAGAGAAATTTGAGAAATTTGCGGTTTTAATATACAAATAAGGATACTTAAAATCAAAAATGTATAAGGAAGATTTTTTAATAAGATAATCAGGTGGGTGAGTGTTTCGGATTTCGAGCAAATATGTCCAAAATTGTACAAAACAAAAAAGCTACATTAAATTAAATCAACAATATAATGTTCATACAATAAATTTGAAATGCATTTCAAATAAATCGAAATAAAATGAAAAACACAGCTAATTACATACATTTTTAAAAACAATGAAGTGGCAAAGGAAATGAATTTGTTTCTCTTTTTTCCCAATTCGATCACTTTTGTCAACATTAATGTATCATTATAGGAGTGAGCATATCTGTTTCGTTAAATTTGATCGAATTTGAAAACGAGAAGCCTGATAGGCATCAGTCTATCAGAGCACTGCAATAAATTTTAGGTGTAGACTTACATCCATGCGATGTCCCAGCTTCTGGCGTATCTGATCAAAATACTGGAAGTGCGCGCTGACAATAAACTCCGACAACGGCTGATTGCTGCAGTAATAATAATACATTGTAAATTTACGTTCCGAGCGTTTGATCAACGGACCCAGGTCAGCGGGCGATTTTTGACAGCTGCGCAGTGCTTTCAGAAAGCAACTATAAGGGATACAATTATAATATTTATTTGTTCATCTGGGCTTCTGGCTCATTGTACTCACTCCCTATGCCACTCGTAAATCTCCTTGATGTTGTTGAAGACCAACTTCTTTTTGCCATCCTTGAGGTTGTCGGGCAACGGTATATCACTGTTGGGATTATTTGTCTCCGCCATGTACCCATTGACAATCTCCTGCAAGTCCTGCACATACGACTCCTCTGTAGAGACCAGTTCGGCCAGAGCACATTGACGTTTCCGCAATGCAATCGATTTGCTATCCATGGCATCGGTATGATTCTGTGGAACAGTTTGCAGCAAGGCCATTAATTAAACTGTATAATATATTGGGGATTACGATTGGGTGTTACCTCATCATTGTTAACCTGATTATTGCTGTTGTTCATCTCCGAGCTGGCACGACCATTCTTGCTGGAATTTTCCGCACTTCCGCTCTCCACACGACTCTTGGACTCGTGCTGTTCCTGCGAAGCGAGACAAACAAAGAAATTGTTTCAACTTTTCTTAAAAACTAAATGCAAATATTTTACTCACTGTTTTCTCTCTCACGATTTGCTCAATTTCCGAGAGTGGATTACCGTCCATTTTGCCTGTGCTCGCCTGAAATGAAATGAAATACATTAATAATGAATAAAACATTAGTTCAATTTGTTATTGTACAATAATACAATTCTTAATTCTGCAATGCAGCGAAGTTCTATATCTCTAATAGCAACTTTTTACGTCCAATAATTCCCATTTACGGTTTTAAAAATGTTGATAAATTTCGATTAATGATCATTTAGGAACAATTTGAGAGAATGTATAGAAAAAAGAGATTACTTTCTAAGGCAATCAATTCATAGACAGTCGGGGTTTGATTTCACAGAGTCAAGGTTGAAGACCTTATTGGAAGACTTCGGGTTGGATGAATCAATTCTAGAATGGATTTTTGGGTACTTGATTCTATGATTGGTTTCTTAAAACACTGCCTAAAACCTTTGGTCTGATGTTTTTAATGCACAGAGGAAGGCGGTTCAATCCCTGATGATCCCTGATATATAATATAAATATAACCAATTGAAATAACCAATAATATTGAATGTTTAAATCGGACTACTCCAAAATACGACTATAATAATAAGAGTCTGGATACTATTTTGAGAATACTCAGGGAAATGTGATCAGTGATTTTCCTTTTGCTTAGCTTGGTGCTTGAAAACAAACCGATTTGTCTACTTAACATATGGATATGGAATGATAAATGGTTTGTATTGTGTAAACAAGAATGCTTGAATTCCCCTTAAATATTTTCTATACGAAATACCAATCAGGTTTATTTCATCACACACACACACACACACATTTAACATTTAGAAATAAACATTGCATTCAATCGGAAGTGAACCTGAGTAATACTTATACACTAGTGACGTCTAGTATTTAGCGGAATTGCGGGTTGTAATTCAAAGTATTTAATATTTCTCCTCTTTATACATACAAACAATTGAAAAAAGCAACTCATAGCGCACAGGTTTTGCCAAAAATGTGCCTCAGACGTAGTTTATATTAATTAATACATTTATCGCGGACTGCTTTTATGTGTGAACCGAAATATAAGTCGGTTTGTTTGGTTTCTTTATATGACGGCTTGTTATTGTTAATTTTGTTACAACGACGCCCAAAACTTATTCCGACCATTTGAAGTTCGCAAAGCAACTGAGCGATCGAACGACCGTTTTTACAACACCCACCAAAAGCCACACACACACACACATGTGTATGCACATATATTTACATAACAATAAAATGAAGAAAATACGCGCAATCAACGCGTCGCCAACAATTCATTCTCAGTCGGCCGTCGGCCACTTAAAGAAAGGCGTCAAAATAAATAGTTTTATTGAGCCTACATACGTATAAGCATTATACATATATGCGCAACAGTGTTGCCGATTCCGATGTGGCGAAGGAAAAGCCAGATCAGCTGTTGAATAAGCTAGAAAAACAAAGCTAAACACATTATAAATATACCATGAACAAGCTAGAAAAAGCTATTTATTATATGTCTACTCTATAATTTCGTTGTTAACGGATACGTTCCTAGGGGACTTTACATTTAAAAAGTATATCAAATCCTTTTGGATAGGATAGGTCTATTTGAACGACATCGCTCGTTCGAAGGATGATCTGATCTGACTAAAATAAAACTAAAGATTATAATACTTAGTAACAGTATGATTGAGAAACAGCTATCAGCAACAACCAGAGCATTATACAATATGTACACAAGCACTATCGTCAACTTCTATATATTGCATACCTTTTCTCTTTGTAAATGCATTGATTTCAAGTCGCTATGTCGCTATTTGAAATATTTCAGTTGTGGCGGGAAATAAAAAGCTAAATTGGCAACACTAATTTGTAGAGCCCCTAGATATTATGCACTCTCCCAACCACCCACTCGCTCTCTTCTGTCTCTCTCCATCAACGACGTCGACGTAGACATCGCCATCGACATCGTGTATTTGTGTGTGTGGGTGGAGTCCATTAAATTTTAAATATGTACACAAATTAGTATGTGAGGAGATAATAGAAATGTTTGTTTGTTTGGTTTCGTTAACACATACATACATGCGTTCGATTCGCAAGGCATATCGTGCATTTGAAATACACGCATGCATATGTATCGGGAATTTAGGAAAGTCAGGGACAATAGCAACAGCTGATATACTATATATTTGAAACAATGGGCGGTAGGAACGAAGTCGGTGCTCCAAAGGAAATGACAATGTAAACATGCTTGTCTGTAAGTAAACAACTCAAGCGTCGTGCCCTAAGTTGGCCTCAAAACCCCAATTGTTCTGTTAAATGTGAATGTGCGAACAATTTAACAATCGAAAGAATTTACAAACACGCATACTTCGTCTTGTTAATGGGAAAATATTGAACAATGCTAGACCTATGCTAGACCTAACCCAAAAATTTGGGGGAAAAGGTACAAACTGCAGTAGTCTGCAGTCTGTCGACGAATTGAGGTCGGAACGATTTCAATATTTAAAACTTGAGCAATACAGCAATAAAATTGATATGTATTTCCGACACGATTCTATATATACTTAGAGACACCTTGAAATTGAATTTCATTCGTCAAGAACTCATGAGTATTATGACATATTAAAATGGCAAGGGGCAATTTAATTATGGATAATGAAAACTTTGTAGTATCGCAACTGAACGTTTTGTACATTTCAATTCTCAAGACTATCTTTGTATAATAAAATGTGTCTAATATTGAAGTTACAATTCATTCGGGAAATATAATTAATTTCCAATAATGTTACAGTGATTCTAAGAATTCACTAACATTTATATTATTTCAAGAAGTACATACTACTATATGGGAAATGTGTTACTTAAAAGTTCCAAATATATTCCAAATTTTTAAAGAGTTAGTTTCAGAAAATAGTTGAGTGTTGTAAAACCTAATGGAAATCAAGTTATGCCATGATGTAACATAAATATAAAAGGGGTTTGCTACTAGCTGATTAGAAAACCGATAGTTCCTATGGCAGTTATAATATATAGTGCGCCGGTTTAGAAGAGACTCCAGGCTATAGTGAGGTATTATAAAAAGCTACGAAATACCAACGATAACGATGTTATAAACAATATGGTTCCTATGGCAGCTATATCATAAATATATATATAAAAATCTGCATATGTTTTAAAACAAACTTGTTGTCACTAGCGTTTATGTCATACAGACAGACAGACGGACGGAAGAATGGATTGATATTCCTTGGGGAACTTACCAAATGGGGTGAGCCCTCGTTGAGATCCTTTGTAAATGCAGGCGGTCCATTGGCCATCAAATGTGGTTCCTGTATGGGCTTCATGGGCGGTGGCAGCTCAAGACCCGCTTCCTCTTCGGGCTCGAAATCCTGCTGTTGCTGCGAAACATTTGTATACTGTCCCACTGTGCTGGCTGGTGACGCCGATGGCTGCTCTGTCTCTTCGGCTTGTTTCTGCGATAACTACGGCGGGAGAAGCGTGCAAAATGTTATAAATAAAACTATATACTTTGAAGAAGAAGATTTTCGTGCCATTAAATTGAACGCGTCACTCACCCGCATATTCTTCTCGGAGGGTTTCTTGAAGAGTGATTTGTCTGGTGGCGGCTTTTCCACTTTGCTCTGCGATAGCTTAAGCAGTGGTGCTTGGAACCACTTCCGCCTGTAATGAGAGGGAGAGAGAGAGAGGTGTATGGGACGTCATTAGAGGTTTGCCCTGCATATCAAATTTTATCACTAATTAATAAAGAATTACAGCAGCATGCGTAGGGAGGTCGTCTGTCCGAAATCAGACATCTTGGTGGGGAATGTGGCACATGACGACAATAAGCGAACCACATATATATGTGTCTGTCTGGATATACACAATAAAATTGAGCGAGTTAGCGACGCCGCTATGCCGCCGCTACACTTTGCCGAAATCTGTCTGTCCTGCTGCCTAGTCGGTCTGATACTGCCTGAAGCGCAAAATTCGACGACAGCAGAGCGCTCGGCGGCCACTTGGCGCGTCAATGGCAAATCGCGCACCGCCCCCCACCACCCAATTCATACTAACCACTCTTAATACTCTCATACATTCGTACATATGTAATTTATAGAATATGCGTGAAAATCATGCCCACTGCAGTATGCGCGCACAGTGTGGCCATCGCACTAGTTCCTTTCTTCAAATTCGAATCAGATGGCACATTGCTAGATTTTGATAAGGAAATTGTTAATCGCCAGTTACCGCCGTCGAGTAATTAAAACGTACTCTATCAATGACACCTTTTACAGTAATTCTGTGACGTCAGCAGAACAAATCACACAAATATTACGTATACGTCTGTCTATATTACGAATCGTATTATTTACACCCAGGGGAAAGAATGTGTGCACAAGAAGTCGAAGAAGAGACTTCCCAAAGCAAATACAAGGTTTTAAATAATACATGTTTTAGGCTCAGTTAAAATTATGTGACTTTAAACAAAACATTTCAATATACTCGTCGTATAGCAAGATTAAGTTGGACAATTGATTATCCCATTTAAGATTACTTCTATGTATATACTATATTCCTCAAGGCAGGTGCTGAGCCCAAAACTATAATTGGTAAAGAGGAAGAGGGAAATTGTGATGCTGTTTGCAATTGAGACAAAAGCTGACTGGTACACAACATAAGTCAAATATGTACTGTAAAAAACTTGCTATTTTAAGAAAAGTGTATGATTTTTGGCGGCACGTAGTTCTTTACCTAACCAGTCTAAGACTAGATATGTATGAATGGAATGCAACAGTTGAGCAAGCTCGACAGTAAAACAATAGTTTATACATAAACAAACCTTCCCTGATATGCGTACATATCAAAAGTAAAAAGAAGAAGAGCAAAAGCAGAAGATTGGTTCACTAATAACTTTTCTTAGAACTGATCGATTTGGATTAAAGTTTAAATAAAGTTGAATAAATATATATTTTATTTTTATGTACGCTTAGCTTTTTGGAATCTCAGATAGTTTGGTCGAAATTTGGTACAGAGTATAAAGAGTATATGAAAGTCATGCTATCACACAACAGTAGGTTAATATACATTTTCGGCGACTTGATTAGTAATCAAACGCCTAGAGCCGAAGTATCTATTCCGAATACTTATTTCGTATTGATAATAATAATACAGGGGAACTACCTTAATTAAAGTGCAACTTCAATGATTCAGAGTGTATTTCAATATTTATGAGTATTATTATAACTAGTATTTGACTTCAAGGAAAAAGGGTTTCAGGTAACTTGAAAATTGTACAGGGTGCGCCATCTTTTATGTCGGTATGTAGATATTGAATAACTTTGTCATTAGTGAACCGATTGACTTGAGTAGACCAGTGTTGAAAACCTCAGATCAAGAACCAAATTAAATAAAAATATAGTATCTCATACTTGAAAATCGGTTGTTTATTTTCAAGGATATTCAATGTTTGCATACCGACATAAAAGATGGCGCACCCTGTATATATATCAATATCAATAAATATATAAAAAATTGTTTTGCCCCATTTATGGAACAAAGGAACTCAACGGGTTAAACGCTTCACTTTCAAAACAAAATACAGATCGTACCCACACATTTCCTCGAGTGATTCACTAACATAACGCTATTGGGGTCTATTTTAAAATTGTTGAAAGCTTTATTAGCAACATATTGCCATCATTTTGTAAATTTTCAAACACTGCTTCAAGTATCATGTTAGAAAGTCGTCGGAAATGGGTAAAGGTAAAGGGAAAGGCTTGTAACATAATTCAAGGGAAAAGTAAACATTGACATAAGCGCCATATAGGGCAGGTGGGTGGGTGATGGACTCGGTTGTTCTCGGAATTATTATTTTTTATGTGGCTCAACCATTTATTTGCTCGCCTTTTCAACAATTCACTTGGCTGAGGTAACTTTTCAGGATAATAATTATTATGGGCAGATTAGTTTTAATGAGAGAGGCAACAACAGCAACACAAATGACAACTCGTCTCTGTGTGTGTACTCCACTCGTATGTAAATAGCATATATAGCATACGAAAGTACAGTGCAAACTGGATAATTGTGACACTTACAAGTATATTTCATATCAATGGGTCAGTAATAGGTTTTGAAGGCTGATTAATTGGTTAAATGGATGAAATCTTTAGGAGATTAATTGCTTAGAAAACGTTTGACTTATATTTTTCGAGACAAAGACAAAGAATGAGGGTTAGATGCTGATGCACGGATGATAATAATAGATAATTAGATGTTACAGCTCAGTGTTTTTCACTGAACTTTCTGATGACAATTACGGCATCAAAAGAGCGTGCGAGTGCAAAAATAAGGTTGTAAAGAAACATCATTTCAGTAAAATAGTCTTTCCCACATATAATTTGATAAATTTGCCATAAGATTGGGAAAAAAATTGCATACTAGGTTTGTGGAAAGTATGTAACAGGCAGAAGGAATGCCTACTTCCCATAAAGCATATATATTCCTAATCAGCTTGACAAGACGATCGAGCCATGTCCGTCTGTCTGGATGAACGCCTGGATTTTGAAGACGGTTGATCTCGCATTCACCAAACTTTGTATGTAGCCTCTCCTAATATCCAGGCAACACAAGTTTATTTTATATTTCCGATTTCCCGATTCACATTCTTTGCTTCTCCTATTTTTTAGAAATATTTGAATAGTTTATTCATTGAATTTAACATCTAGTCTATTCGTATGCACATGGGAAATTTGCTGAGCTCAGATTGTACGGATTACCGGGGCTATACCGTATATTTATATGCACATATAAGTATATAGCTATGTATAGTATATGCTTGCACAAACTCTCTGGCAAACATGTCAATTTAGTTCATTAGACTTGAAAGCGTGCCCTGTTGGTTGGTCATTGTGTAGTAATTTTACTCATATTACTGTTACGCACCAAGTTTCCGCCTCTATATTGACACAGCACTTGAGACAAAGACAGACAGACAGACTGACTGACACAGGGCCGAGCCACCGACCGACTCAGCCTGACTTTATCCAAATGCTTTCCAAGTACTACTATCTGCATATACATATACAAGTATATATATATATATATATGTACATAATGCATAAGTATGTATTCATGTTCTGGGTGACTAAGGCAGGCGCACAAGCACAGGCACGGGCACGGGCACAGACATACGGATACGGCTACGGACACAAAAGCAGATACATATGTATAGCCGATTAATGTTCACTGAAGCAGCGCCCACGAAGGCTAAACAAAATGCCCAATTAGTGTGCAAATATTGAAAGTATTCTGTAATTTACGAGTATGTGCATACAAATGTGTGTGAAATTATGAATGGGGTGGGATCGGTTATCTGTGGGGAAAGTACTTTCATATCCGGAAACTATAAAATGTCTTTGCACTAACTGAATAGTACATGCCAGCTATACATTAATAATCCATTTGGATACAAGTATTCCATCTTGACCTATATACTTGTACAAGTATAGTGCAGTTATCTTTGTTCCGACAAGACCTGTTGAGGGCTATCATTTTCTGAAGATTGGTATTAAAAGTTATGGGATTGCAATATTCATCAGTAGACACTTGTGCTTGTTTGTCTTATCTAGGCTGCTAAGCGCCCTAATAGTACGGTAAAACATTGTTTGAAGGCGCCCAAGTTGGTATTTTAGAACATTTAACCCTTTTAAGGGGTAAGACCCCTTTCGAGTTTTTATGAAATGCAAGAAATTTTGACGTCGCAGTCAATCAGCTTTGCAAATTATCCTTATAGTCTTAGCATACGTTGTCACAACAGTTTTTCAACATACCAGTGTTCGAATGACAATTAATTGTGAGGCGCAAATAATTGCCAAATGTTGAAATTTCACATTTTCTTTCTTTGTTCGGGGTTAATCAGTTAACCCGTTAATCAGTGATATGGCAGAACCGATTTTAAACGTAATTTCGTGTTTCCAGGATAGGGGCATTTAGAAACGTTATGGATGTATTTTTGTAAACATTGTAAAGTCAAAACTTAATGCATTTAAATACATTCGTACTTTAGATACAGGTAGCTAACAGGGGTCTCTACTTATATGCTGGTTGCCAAGATTGAGTTCTAAAATTGATCAACAATTTGCCACTAACTTCTTTGTAGCACTTATAAACTATTCACAGATGAAATAAAAACTTGAAAGAAAATAAGTAAAAATGCTTTGTTTTGAACATTTTCGAAAACAGTCAGTTACTAGCTGGTGATCTCACTGTAATCTCGATCGACTTGTATATATATTGATGGACACTTGAATATTAATCAACTCATATGTATGTTTTGATGACCATTTGGAAATTTCAAATCTAAAACCGTCTACACTATTTAAACATTCTACAAATATTTAAAGATTCTTGCAGATTTTTTATATGTAAGTTTTTTTAATCTTTAAATTTTGTGTGGAATTACCAAATGAACGGCAATGAACGATAGAGCCGTAATGAAAAAAACATGTAATCTGGCACCGACTTCTGTTTTGCGTGCAGCGGTACTGAATGTTATGAATAATGCCCCGGTTTCTCAGTCTTAGCTTATCGCAATTAATGACGAAGTCAGCTTAGTCAACGAATGCAACATGCTTCGTCCGCCACTGGCTCTACCTAGGCACACATATAACGCATACTATATTGTATGTATTTCTTTTCTGTGCTCTCCCGACTTGCTAGCTTATTTTTGAACCGGTTTCACTTTGTTGTTATAAGTGGCGATAAAAACATTATCGAGAACTTGCATAGTACGCGTATTGTCGTGGAGAACCAATTAATTAGTCAAAGACAATTCATTAACGACTGTAATAATCACACGTGAATATTATGATGTGGAGTGTAGATTAGGTTTACGATATAAGTATGTAGCTGTATGGGGGATTTTACCAAGATTTGCGTCGTTCGGCTTTGCTACCAATTTGATTTTCGTGTTGGCAGCAAAAACAGGCAAAACCTTCTGTAATGGTCGCCAGTGTGGGATCGTAATGGGGCTGGGTAACATGGCCATTGGCATTCAGGTTTAACGATATGGACTTTGATAACTGTGGCGTTGTTCTATTTGGCGTAGGTGCCGAGCGTCTTCTAACTTTTCCTGCATTATCGTTTTCATCCACGGCAGCGACACCGACAGCGACACCGATACCGACATAGCCACTGCCCAATGCTAAGCTCTTTTCAATGTTATTATCTTCCACGCTATTGTTGTTACACATTATTTATATTTATTTATTTATTTTTAAAGATAAGCCGACACGGCTGCCACCAAATGCGGGTATTTCGGATTTAATCAAATAAAATAATCGTTTACGCGACCGCGTTCAACGACGCGTTAGGACGTTTGACAACAAACTGAGTACTGCTTGTCAGCCTTACTTTTTCGTTCTCGAGAAAACCCCACCACTCTCAAGTAGTGATAAAAAAAAGCAGGCGAGCGCTCTACGGTCGCGTCGAGTCGCTCGCAAAAGCATTCGCAAAGGTTGTTAAGTTGTTTTTGTTTGTTTGTGGGTTGAAAACAAAGTTAACTTACGAAGCTTTCTTACTCTCTTGGAAATTATTTCGTAATACGGTAAATGCAATATCATTCGCAACTACAATGAAATATAGCTTGATCGAGAATTTAAAATTCAGCTTGATCGAGAATTTAAAATTTAGGGAACATACATGTGATACTATCATGAAAAGGGGTAGCTTCAGGGAATATCACGGTATATCGTTTGATTTCACATCTACTTGTAGTCCACAAACACATCCGTGTTTCTGATCCACCGCCTAATGTAATTGTTTTTTGATGCATACAAGTATATAGTATAAAGAATATCAGTATCGGTTCATGGAACCATTCCCAACTGATTAATGATGGGCACGGGCAATTAGTGACGAATCGGTATGTACATACACTCAAATGTCTTATCTTATGACTGATCGATAAGCTCAACCTATGTACTATATTTCGAAAATTCTGCAACTGACCGGATGCCGCGCTCTAAAAAAACGTAGAGCCTACGCACGAAAACACTTGCCAAATAATTAAGTTTCATTTAGGTGGTCTCCAAACTTGGAGGAAAAGATCCGTTTGATCACTATATTTATGGAGCGCATTACAATTTATGTCGGATTAGAACTTTTATCATATTTACAATATTCAGAAAAGCTGATTAGCTTCTTAGAAATCAGCACATTTTTAATATCTAGGCTACAAAAGATTGGCATGTTCCTAAAGTTTCAAAGACGTCAAGGCTTGTTTGGAAAATATTAAGGACAGTTTTTCGGGAGTATTTGAAAGTATTCTTTGCATCAAATTAATTTTAAACACCTTTCATTGCATTTAAGCAAATTATATAGCATTTAAGCAAATTATATAGCGCTAAAACAAATATCTGTGCGCCACATCCATCATTAAACAATCCTTATTTTTATATTCGCAAAACTCACTGATTAAAGTTAATATTGAAACAGTTAGTCGGAACTCTTTAAGCCAACTATTTAGCCAATAAGCCAACTAAAGCGAACAGTCTGCAGGTGTTTTTAATGTTTTTTTTTTTGGCACTCATATTTAAGCAGTTTATCAAAACTAATATAAATAATTTGGAACTGTAAATACAAACTAAAGTTGAATATTCAGGCAGCTAATTAGCCCTTCTTAGAACGTTAATATGATCCAAACGGAGCCCCTTTATACACAGTTGCTTATAAGCAGTTATTCAGTCAGAACTCATTAAACGCTCAATTCATATTTGCGATTGAGTTTCCTCCGAAAAGTGCACTTTCCAGCGATCAATAGTTTTGAACTTACCCACTACGGGGGATCAATAGTTTTGAACTTACCCACTAAAGCCCCGTCGCTTGGTCGACGAAGACAACGCGTCCGTTTTGTTGCGATTTCCTAAGGAAATAGAACGAATAGAATATAAGCGTGTGTCCAACTATTTGGCCTGCTGGTTGCTTGAGAATGTTTGCTGAAATATTTACCTTGGTCCTGCATAGCAGCGGTTCCCTTCTGAGCCGCACCCGTCGCTGAGGCAGCAGCCGTACCTTGCCTGTGCATGCCCGGCGGCGGTTTGAGAACTGCTACGGGCACAAGTCCTTCTTGTGCGGCTGCCTCATCGTTCTGGGGATTTAGGCGCACCAAACAGAAGTCTGGCTCTGTGGCTGTGGGCGGTTCGATAATCTCCACTTGTTGGCCTTTGGTGACGCTCAGCTCGTTGCTGCCTGATGCGGCCATGTAGTCGGCCACCACCCAAGTGGTCTCCTGATTGCTGAGCTGCAATGGCGAGAAGAAACAGAAGAAGAGTGTGAGAACAGCTCGCTGCTTGTTTGGGTTTCACAAGAGTCGTCCAACTATGTACATAATGCCATTACAAAGGAAGAGTTGGAGAGTTGAATAAGCAGGGCGGGCAGCATCGGGGCGCAAGGTGCAAGGTGCAACATCTCGTACCTGCCTCGCCGCTATTGATTTTATGTTGCTTGCTTATTTCTGTCCATGTCACCATGTGCAGTGCGCCTATATGCGACCGCCAGCGAGGACGTGCTTAAATGGTATTCTCACACCATCATCTCACAACCCAATATCACCATCGCCAAACATGTCGTCATTACAAGCGTTCTGTGGGGTTGCATCGACTCTGGGACTGTAGGACTGTGGGACTGTGGCACGACCTCCAAACGTGCTCAAGGCCGCCACTTGCAAGCGACGACGAGCTGATTAGAAAGCGATTCAAGCCAGGCGATGTCGTTTAAAATTCTGCATTCGATGCCAAGGCGCTGCTCGTAGCCATGATAGTGCTAGTGGTTGGAATGGGGGATGGGGCTGGGGGGTGGGGCTGTTGCTTGGTAGCTGACCAGCTAGATGAGAGCAATTTGTGAGTCTATCTCTATTTATAAATATTAATGGGGGTCTCTGTTTGTCTCTCATGCCATTCATTTGACGACAATATGGCTTTATTAACATGATTATGAGAGACTCAGACGCCATGCTGTTCAATCCTACAAATATTCTATTTATAAAAATTACAGTTTCGAATTCTGGACACTATGCACGAGTTCGGAAGTATAGTCAACTATTTCATTGATTACTTTCTTCTTTTTTTAATCCTGAGGTTGGTTAAGTCATTCGTTCATTCGTATATTTATTTCTTGTTAAAATAGTAAAGTTGGGAATTCTGAATTGAAGGGTTCAATTAACTAACAGATGTTTTGATTCATTAGGGTCTTCGTTCCATTAGTGTATGCTGTTAAGGCCATATGTTCGTTCCTTCATTATCCTTTGAATTCTACAACAAATAGCAGAGCTGGAAATTTTGGGATGTTTTGTGTTCAGAAGTAGAATGAACAATGGTTTTTTTTTTGATTAATTAATTTGATTGTTTCTTAAGTTCCTGCAACCATATCTTCCCTTCGACTAGTCGTTTCTTCAGGCCTGCTTTTTGCAGGAAAGAAAGCACCAGATTCGTGCTTCCATATTTGCAATTCAGAAAAAACTGAATGCAAAGACTTAAGTCATTAGGTTAATTTTGAGAGCATTGCAACTAAATCGAAGCAGGAGCAAGTAAATGGGTGGGAACCTACAAGTATAGATGGCTGATACGAATTGGTTTTGCTTGATTAGGGGAAAAGAGACGTTAGCAAGCGGGAACGAATTAAAACATAAATCAGCGACAACAGCTGTAGCAGCGTTTAAGCTTAAAAATTCTTTAACTTTAAGACAAGCCTTAAAGTTCAGTTTTTAAACTAGTGTCATCAGAAGTGACACATAATTGATGTCTGTTCGATGTAGTTGTTCTTATTAGTGATGGCAACAAAGTAAATGGGCTCATTTAAATTTATTTGTGGCCCAATTGGCTAACACTTATGAGAAATTGGCGCCAATGTGGGCGCACTACGCACATAAATCTCAAGTAGATAGACGAATGTACACCCATCGACGGGTACGGGTACATCAAGTGCAAATGGATATTATTCAATTAACCTACACTGCAGGACATTCGATGACGACACAATAATAATTACATTACAACAAACAGGACACATAAAAAAGAGTGCCATTGAAAAGAGACCAACGATGCGATGTACGACAACATGTTAGCACAAACGAGACTCGATTCCTAGCACCCCAATCCCCAATCCCCTAGACCCTGAACCACAGTACACGAGCCTTTGTGTATTCGTTTAGGTGTGAATGTGTTTGACTTCGTGTGTGTGTGTGCGTGCATGTCAGCGCACCTACGGGTGTTAAGTGAATGTCATTTAAGGCACAAATTGAATGATAGGTCAAATTGATCCTGTATACCTACAAGGGCTTGTAGGGCTTATGCGATAAGGACATCTCCTAGCGTGTATAAAGTTTGGCTCCTCTCACCAAGACACCTTTCGCTGCAAAGTTCCCGCTCCCTTGCCTTGAAATTAAAATGCTCGAAAATCGAGGAACTCGAGAGAATGTTGATTGGTGAATCTAATCTTTCGTTTTATCGCCGCAATATAATATTGTATGTATATGTATACTAAGTTGAATTCTGTCCAGTACAACAATTCTTTACTTACTAGATGGCACCAACTTATCAAGCCGCACATTTTATTTCATACGTTAGTTCGAAAGGTAACGATTGTTATAATGTTTAGTCAAAATCTTGTGACATATGCTGAACTATACTCGTACGTCAGGGGGGCAACCAAAATCTCGCTTAAAATGTGCCTAAATTTTAAAAAGACTTCATTAAAAGAACTGGAATTAAATATCTCAAAAACATAAATTGTTTTAAGTAAACATTTTTTTTTTTGGAAATCATTAATCTTTCTTTGAAATCTATCCTACTTGTAGATTGGTTCATGATAACTTTGAAATTTCAATCGTGTGTCTGGTTTGATGGAAATGGAAAATTCACATGCAGAAAAATTATAGATTCTTTAACTAATAATTGCTTTTGAGGCAAACTACGTTAGGAATCAAGTCATTTTTCCAAAAATTTAATAAATATGAATAAGAAATAAATTTGAAACGGACAGCACCTTTTACCTCAAACACTCTGTTCATAGATCATCTAAATAGCTGTTTCTAAGATTAATTACGTTGCTTTTATAAAGGAAGATTTCAGTTGCCTTTGGTTACACGAATACTTCTGAACTTCTGGTCTAAGACAGTATTTCAGACAGGGTATGCAGGGAGGGGTACCAAAGTTCGATGGCTTGGGGATTATTGAATTATTTCGCAATATCATATAAAGGGCGAGGGGATTGGGACTCAAATCAAAGCATCGGTTAGCGAAGAGCGATTGTTGAGGGTGGAGGAGAACCCTCGCTTACACCATTTAGAAATTCAAAAATGAAGATAAGCTGAACTCCTAGGGACTGAATAGAATGAACCGATTTTGAGGGTCGTATTTCTGTAACAACAACAACAACAACAACAACAACAACAACAACGCACCTTTAACACTCTGCTACTGGATTGCCGCATGAAGCGAAAGGAGCTGGGTGAGTCGATGGTGTGTTGGCGAGAGAGCATGCCATGGGTACTCATGCTCGACTGCCTGAACCAGGGCAATGAGATTTTGCGGCGACTTTTCCTTTGGTTGTTGCTTGTAGACTGTACTGTTGCGTCGGCGCCGTTGGGCGGAAAATTGAATGGCGACGCTTGGGAGCTGCCAGTGCCACCATTTGTGGGCGGAGCAGTGGCCGGTGCCGTTGGTAGAGATGCGTTGACATCCTCCTCGAGCGGACCCAGTGACATGTTCTGGACGGAATCCGCCAGTGATGGCGAGGGCGATGGATCGCCTAAAGCGAGCGGGGCCACAGGCGGCGGCACCGGTGTGCTAGGCGGGGTAGTACCTTCGGCACCCGCGCCATCGCTGCTTGGACTGCACTTGAATCGTTCCGGCGATGTCTTCTTGCCGGCTTTGGTGTCATCAACGCTGTTGATGCGCTCGTTGAGAAACTTTTTAACGCTTTTCATGTTTTGCTTCAAGTGATTATTTATTCAGTTGGGTTATGCATAATTCACTGCACCACGTTCAACGTTTAACGTTTTGGCCAACGCTTTGGGTTTTGGTCACGCGCACACGACCCGACCTGACTCGACACAACTCGACTCGACTCGACTCGATCTGACCGCGCTGCCTTGCTATTTTAGAACAATTTGGTTTTATTTTTATTTTGAGTGAAGCACAAATCGATATGTAGTCCTTGTCTGCATACAGTTAGAGCTTGGTCCGCAGGGGGTGGTGCTGGTGGTGTGTGGTGTGGTAGTTGGTTTTTAGAAGCTTTTAACGCTGTTGCTGTTCACCCAAATGCCGACCCACAGTGTCGGGCCATTGTTTTAATTTTAAATTATCCTGCGGTCGACGCAACGACAAAAATATGCCACAGCTATCCATTCCAATTAGAAGCCGCTGCCATGGGCGGAACCCGTCTGCTTCAAGTTCGGGATTAGGGGTTGGGGAGAGTGGAGAGTGCAGTGTGGGTTTAGTTTAGAGCAACATGTATTTTGTAATCAGACCGAAAACAATTTCTTGTCTTCTACTTCTACTTTTATCAACGACGCTCGCACTTTCGCCTCAACTCGACTTGAATTTCAGTTTGGGTCATGGCCCATGGTGCGTATACGCGATTTTAGATTGCCCTTGCTCCCTGTCCTCACCAGCTAACAGGGTTTCAATTTTAAATGCTTGAATTCACTTTCTGTCCAAGCTAAAAAGTAATTGAATTCTCTTGTATTTTCATTCTTTTTAATTATTTAGCTGCTTTTTGCGGTTATTGTGAATTTCCCACTGTTATTAAGTATTGACCGCAACTAATCATTTATTTTCATAAACAAGCACGCCATGCGCACACAAATACATAGATAGATATGTATATCTATGTATTTGTGCGATAAACATTTGTTGTTATTTTTAAACGTTTGCTGCTCACAGTTGGGGCAGGTGCTCCATAGCGCCCGGCACTTTGGCAACGAACGCTCCGTTTCGATCCAATCCGGAAAATTTGATTACATTATTTATTTATTGCTGCGCGTTTTGAATGTGTGTATATAAACAACAGCAACAGCTGATTCGATTCGATTCGGTTCTATGCATTGTCGAGTTCAGTGCAAACACATCATAAATGGAAACTTAAATCTTTCCTTAACGCGCATTTTGTTTGTTGAAAACTTTGGCTATGTACGCGAAAATTTGCGCATGGCTGTGGAAATTTGCAGCTGTTGTTGAAGAACATTCTCTGAGCGCTTCCGCAGCCCGCACATACTTTTACATACTATGCCTATATATATATATGTACATATACACATATAGTCGTGTGAATGTGTTTTCTGCTCAGCAGAAGCACTTAGCAAGTTTCGTAGAGCACCTAAATGGTTCCTTTTTTGCTTGGGGGCTTTGTACACTCACCAAACTAAATTATTTATTAAACTGCAATTTCCAACGTGTACAGTCACGAGCTTAATTGACTGAGCTAGCTCTGAATGGTTCTTTGTGAGCCCTTTGTAATCAGAAAGTTTTCAGGTAAATGAAAAACAAAATTCAATTGCGCTATTGTTATATAAATATTTATATCGCATACAGAATGAAAAACCCCTTCAAATAGTACCCGCCACGAAACAACATCAACAATAACAAAAGCTCTATCTAAAGAACAATAGATAAGCGTGAAAATTAAACCGAACACACTCAAAACACAGGTTGTTACAGTGGTCCTTAGCTATGTGGAGCTGCCTACATTAGGTAAAAGATTCCTCTTGGTTTTACAAAATTGAATTAAGTTTAATGAGATAATCAGCTTAAAAGGCATACAAATATGCTTTTTAAGTCAATTAAGATTTCTTAAGTTATCCAAAATTGATTGACGAAAATAATAATTTTTAAAATAGCCTTCCAGAACTATAAGTATAGAAAGCAAATTTTGTGAAACAATTTTACTAAACAATTAAATCTCTAACTTATATGTCCTCTTATTGCATTAACTTCAGGGCAGAAATCATAAAAAACAACTTTTAAGAAGTTTTAAAAACGAAAATGTGCGATTTGAAAGCATAGTTGGAATAAAATACCAAGCTAAAGATATTAAATTAGACAAATAAATAACAATAGGGAATATGTATTAAAATATCGAATTATACCAAACTAAAAAACAAAGCTAAATTCTTTGAATGAAAGTATGTTAAAGGAAATAGCTTATCCATTATTAATCCTCAATTGAGCTTAGAATTGAATTTTTACCATTCTATTCAGATTCCTTTCCATAAAAAATTTGTATTCTGACTGGTGGTTTATAACACAATTCTGCTACCGAAGCAGATAGATATATACGTAAATGAGCTATGCATTGTGATGTGAAGGATTTCTAGCAATGTTTTCTCCATCCATTAAAAAAGTTGACAAAATCAAATTGCGATTCCCATAAAATAGGGAAAACTTACTCCTTTCGAATAGATTTCAACAAATTCGATCGCATTAGGAAAAGGCGTGAAATTGTCTATTTTTCTTAAATTAATAATGCATTTTATCCTTGAATTAATGAAACTTGCAGCGCTGGCTTTAACTTATACTCGTAGTATTCAAACCATGAGTTCGAAAGGATACGCCTTTTCTTAGCATCTTTCTTGTAAGCTAGTTAGTGTAGGGACGACCGTCTCATTTATTTGCAAAAGTTCTCTATTCTGCTGGCGAATAAATTCAATTTAGCGAACGTGCAGTGTATATCAAATGTTGCACATTTCGTGCACTTATGATAGCAAATACATACAAACACACACACACACACACACACACACACACACACACACACATAGATGCTTTTATATAGTATGTATATGGAAAGGCACAGCAACACGGGCATGTAATACTCGTCAAGTAGCCACTGAGCAGTTGATAGTGGCCCGAAGAGGAGGGCAAAAGGGGGGGGAAATTTCGCTTGACTGTTGAAAAATCAGTGTTTGCTTGCATTTGCAAAACTTTGTGTTTGTTAGTTGTTGTTAGGACAGCAGCGGATTTTTCTCAATTTTAATATTGTAATATTTGTTATTATAGCACGTATTTGGTATTCATTTTTTACAGCAAGGGCTCGTTCGTTCGGTTCATTGAAGTCGAGTTGAGGCTTGCAATAAAGTGCAGCGTATTTGTGTATTTATTGTAAATTATATAAGTTCTAGCCATGGAATTTTATTTATTTAATGGTATTATCTTTGGGATTTTTATTAAAGCCTGTGGGCATCTGCATTACTATTATAAGTATATGTGTGTGTTATCTCGTAGGCTCACGTACTCTCTGTTATTTACTTTCTTTTGGACGACGAGCTCTCAAACATAAGAATTCAGCAGCAAGCGACGACTGGCGGAGGCGGCGGCGGCGGCGGTGACGGAAACAAGGTTTCTGTTGATTGTGTGTATGTGCCGTGTTGGTTGCTGGGCACGGTAGTACATATTATAATTTTTTTCTTTTTTTGACAAGTAAAGCGGAAAAGAAACGCGTACCGTGAACAGTTAATGGCAGAGAGAAAAGTAGAGTGCGGCGGAAAAGTGCAGCAGCAACATGCACGGACACGACAAAGAAGACGCTGCCAAAGTTTAGCTCAAGGCGAGAGCGGCGAGTGTGGGAGTAGACAGTAAATTATGCAGATAAGACGACGATTGCTGCTTCTGCTGCTGTTGCTGCTGCTGCGACGCGACCCGTTTTGGGGCACGACGCGCCAAGTTGCGGCGCAGACCTTCGTATGACCGGGTGCGCATTTTCTGGCAGCACGCAAGGTTATAAAACACAGAGGCGGCAGCGAGAACTGCAGTCGGCCGAAACCGAGACCGAAACGGCGAAACGGAACAGTGAGTGATGTTTTAGCAAACCTTGTGGCTTAAACTCTAGCAAGCAACTGGAGGAGCTACGCAACGAGGTTGTCAACGACGACGACGACGACGAAACGCAACGCAAAGCAACGCACCACGCCGCACAACAACAGCAACAATAGCAGCAACAACAAGAACGCTCAGAGTCCGCGCCATGTTCCAGCGGATCTCAGCAGGCGTGTGGGCAAAAGAAAAAAGCTCAGAGAGCGTGAGAGAGCGTGTCTGGCAATCTGCCAAAATATGGCAGCACATTAGTTCGACCAACGCTGCGTATACATAATAATAACGGCAGTAAAAGCTCTCTCTGCCTTCTTTTCTCTCCCGCTCTTTGTCATTAAGACTGTTGTTGTTTTCCTTGATTTGGCGCAATTTTTTCAGGCGCGCGCAATTAGAGTCGTCCGCGAATTAAAAAAAAAGCCAAAAATTTCTTCTAACCGTTTCTTTCTCTACATTTCCATGTGTTCATGCAAGTTGCAATAATTGTGTAAAAGTTAATTAATATTGCGCATAATTTAGTAATGTTTACTTCTTAAACATTCCCTGATATTCACAATAAAAGTAATAACTGCACAATTGCGGATGTCGCATTAATTGAATGCTCATTATAGCATAATTAACATCCTAAAAGTATTTCCTGTCGGATGCCAACAAAGAGGAAAACAAATTTAATTCAAAGCTGCTAAGAATCTTAAACATATTGCAGCGCGTTGAAAACTTGTCCCACCGCATAGAAATTGGCCAATAGCGTGCAAGCAGCAGCATCCTTTAATGAACGATTTTCCTCTCAGAGAGACGAAGCACGAGAGAGAATTGCTAGGAATGGCATACACCCTTTTTAATTGAGGTAGGCTCAGCAAAGCCACCCCCAAAAACCAAAAAAGCTTTCAAAAGCGTCCCAATTTGAAGCTTAAAAGCTCCCACAGTGGGTTAACAATTCAATGTGAGTTATTGAAATATTGGAACTCACCTTATTATCACTGTCCGTGGTATTGCCTGAGCCGAAGCTAGCCAGGGAACAGCGGTCGGGATCATTTTCTGTGAGCGGTTCGTCCAAGTCCCGTGACGAGCGTTGCGACGAACCCGAGTTCTTGGCCGGCGATTTTGGCAGCGTCAAAGATCTAGCTGAGAAGCAGGTCTCCTGCATGACTTCACGCAGTTTCTTCACCCAAACCTGCAAGGAAAAATCCGATATAAATATTTATTTGTATATAAAAAATTTACTTAAATTATGGAATTGCAAGAATCCACAACTAATACTATAAACTAGAATGCCACGACAATCGAAAATAGTTTGAGGCACATCATCCAATTTTTTATGCGCATTACATTTATTCCAAATATCTGTTGATATACAAATATTAATTAACTATCCAATTTTGAAATGAATTTGGTTAATGACATTTTAGAATCTGAATATGAATAACAAAGATAGGTGCACATTTGACTTTTCAGAACCAGAGACTTGAAAAACGTTCTAATCAAAAACATATACCACTAAACTCTCTAAACTGGTTGTGGATATTTTGCTAAATCTATGGTGTCCCAAAATGCTTTTTGTGGTACATTTTTAAATCGATGTTCTATCATCAATCTAACATAAAGTAACTATTCAAATTACTATTACTCTCAACTATTACTACTACTTACTATTACTCTTAACAAAAATGGAAAGCTCGTATATACCCTGTATCTATTCGTACTCTAAAAAAGAATCTGAATACCAAGTTTTGTCATTTAAGCTGTACTTTCTGAGATACTGGCGCACATATACCGCCACGCCTCCTTCTGTGCCTTACGCACATTCGCCCTAAACTAGTTTACCATTTGAGTACGGGGTAATAACTTTTAGAGGTTAAGGCTGCTTACGTGCTTTGTCTCCAAGCTGGTTGCTTTCAATACAATTCGGCAATCGGAAAGCATGGGTGATCGACCTGTCCATACGGCGAATTTCGTCTCATCCCCTTCAATGTGCTCGGTGATGCCCATTTCGGTGGTCATCAGCTTGCTCTTGAATTGATATTTGACGGTGTTCGATTCCTTCACCTCTTTGGCGAACACAAGATACAATTCAAAGAGAAATACGCGTCGCTCCCGACCCTTTCGTATAATGGTCTTGGTATCCCATGTCTGGAATGCATCCTGAAGCACAACTTCGCCCAAATTCTCGACAGACACATCGCAGTTTTCTAGCAGCGACAGATGCATGGCATCGTTGGCCTTCTTGGGTACGTTCAGCATCACCTCAAGGCCCTCTTTTATCTCGCCGTGACTCTCCTCGCAGCAAGACAGCAGATCCTTGAGCAGCAGCTGGTATTTGGTGATACGCTGCACTGGCTTTATGAGATAGGCAGGAAGCGGATGTTCCACCTCGAGACGGCGCTGGAGGTCCTCAAAGTAGGTGCCCGCGTGCTGGACCAGTAAATTGTTTGACGTAGGTTTATTTTTGCAGTAATGGACATACATATCGAACTTGGAGGCCCAGGTTACGAAGCAATGGCCCACGTCCTCAGGCATTGTTTCGTACTTCTCCAGCTCGCGCAAAAATATCTTCTGATGGAAATGATGAATCTCGCGTATATTACCAAAAATAATATCCTCTTGGCCGACAAGCGCTGGCGGCACGTTACGTCCAGTGCGGAACTCTTCGAGGAAACATTTAATACAGGTGGCCATGTCGTTGACGTACGCGCGCTCCGTCTGCATAAGTTCGGCCATGATGAACTCTTTTCGACGCGCCGATTTGCGTTTCTCCTCGTTAATCTCCTTGGCGGCCGCCGAACTTGAGGAGTTTGTTAGCTTCGCTTCGAGCGTCGGATCGGAGTGGCGATCGCCGCTGCTGCCGCTGGCCCCCGAAGTCGAACTAATGGAGCTGTTGGCATCTGACTCGGGCAGCAGTTGCTGCTGCGACATGCCCAGCGATTTTTCCAGCTGCTCACAGTAGCTGTCCATGCGATTGCTGAAATCCTTGAAGCGCTGATCCACCGATGCCACCCACTGCTTAATGGAGCTGGCATGCGCATGTCCCTTCTCCACGAGACTGTCAGCCAGCTGGATGAGCAGCTTGACTCGCTCGCGTGTCTCTTTGGCTGTGCTGCGGAACTCGTTGTGTTCCTTGAGCAGAGCCTCCGTCTCCTCGCGCGGTATGCCCACAATGTTGGTGCGCGAGGACAGATAGGCCTCGCCTATATTGTGTATCCATTCGATGGCCTGTTTCGCGCTGCGCTCGAAGAGCACAAATTGCTGGCATTGATCGAGCGATTTTTTGCGCAGCGTCCAGAATTCGAGCACCTGATTCTCCTGCGTGAGCAGTTTGTCCAATTTGCTCTTGACATGCGCCTCGCTGTTGCCCTGATACTGATAGTATTGCTGGGATCGATTCGCATACTTCAGGAATGTCTCGGCAGTGCGACGTGCTAAGGTGCAGGCCTTAAGGAATGCCTCCTTCTGCTCCTGATGTTTAGAGATCAGCTGCACAATGGTTTGCGCCTTATCACTGGATCCACCACCGCCGCACCAATCGTCCTCACGTCGATACTCACGCTCCAAGCTGTCCAGCACGGAGCACACCTGATCGGCGGTCTTGTAGAAGTTTATCGAGGCAGTCACAAGCTTGTGACGCTCCTCTGCATAGGTGACCAGCTGTTGCCACTTTTTGGTCACATCATCTGAGATTTCGCGTATGGATTGGGGATCATAGTGGTTTGCATTGATCAAGGCATCGGCCCGGTATTTCACCTGAACCGCGGACGTGTGCGTCTTCTCGATAGCGATCTGTAGAGGAAGCAGAAAGTGAGAAAATCAAATTCTTCAGTTCTGATGGGTGCTGTTCGCTACATACCTGGAACTGCTCGTGTTCCTTGCGCAGCTGTTCGGCATCCTGCAGACTGTTGGGTGTCACGAAACTGGCCACCAGCATGGCTTCGCCGTTGCGTATCCACGAGATAACTTGATTCGCATCGTTCTGGAACTGACAGAGCTGCACGGCTTGTTCGAGCTTGGTACGCTTTGCCTCAGACAGCTCCTCCAGATCGATTTCGCGCTCACGCAGGAAATCCAACAGATATTCAATGCGCGCCTGCGCTGTAATCGTAGGATCGGCCATTGAGATGAAACCGGCGTTCTCGAACAGTTGTAGCACATCCTGACCCGTTTGCAGTACCTCGTAGGTGGCGTTCTGCATATCCGTCACCGATTCGTTGTGCATGCGAATGAGCTGCTCAGCCTTCTGATAGTCGCGCGACAAATCCGCATGCTGCAGCTGTTCCGACCACATCTCCAGTTGCGAGGATAGCTCCGTGGCATCGCGCTCGAAGTAGCGCAGCCGCAAAATGAGGTCGGCACGGAACTTGCGGGCTGTCCACAACTCCTCGAGTTCCACCTTTTGCTTGGTCAACTTCTCCAGCGTTGTCTCCAGCGCCGCCAGCGAGCCCGTGTTGTCCGCATACTCCAAGGCGCGCATCTCCTGGAGCAGCGCCTCGCCCTGTGCGATGGTCGTCATGCAGCCGTTTATGGTGCTTTCCTGCTGATCGCGATACTGCTGCAGTAGTCGCTCGATCCCATCTAATTTCTCCTGAGATAGACGTGTCTCGTCCGTACCGACCTCCATGCGCAGTTGATCGATCCAGGCAGTCACCTCCTTTTCGTGCGTGTAAAAGATAACGGCCATTTCGAGACGACGTCGTCGCTGCTCCACACGCTCCGCAAAGCTGGCCACCTGCAGCTCCAATTCGCGCGCCACCGAATAAATTTCATTGGGATCGGCCTCGCCACTTCGTGCCAATTCTTCGGCTGCCGAAAGCAGCTTTTCAGCATTGCTGTATGTGTTTTGGGCCACGTTTTCGAAGTTGTTGTGCGATTTCTGATAGATGCGTGCCTTCTGCAAATTCCTTCCGATTCCCGTGTTCTTTCGCAAGAATACTTCGCCATGATTCTTCAGCCAGTCCAGCACTTGCTTGACATCCTCCTGGAAGAGGCGCAGTGCCAGCGTCTGATGCAACCTGACCTTCTCCTGATGCCACTTCGCTTCCAAAGAGCGGTGGTGGCTCAGTATTTGATGGATGACGTGAAGCACGTGACTGGCGCCTTCGCTGTAGTCCGCTGCCGGATTCTGATGTTCGTACTTGTTAAAGCTGCTGTTTTTGCGATGATCGGGCACGCCAGGCGGCGGCGGCTGATTACAAACCTGCACCAAATGGTCTAGTTGGTAGAGCAGTTTCTTGCTGGTCGAATGCACCTCTGTATAGGCCTGGCACATGGCCTCATGCAGCGATTGGTGGGTGCGTATGGCCGTCTCCAGACTTTGTATATCTGACGGCAACGGCTGCGAGGCTTGGCAGGCGGCTGCCCATGACGAGACGCTATTGCAATATTGCTCCGCCTTGTGATGGAAGAGGACGCTCAGCTGCAGGACAGCGGTGCGTTCATCTAAGCCGGTGGCAAAATCCTTCCATGTGCGATCGAGACGTTGGGCCAGCGTCTTAATGTGTTGCGCCGCATAGTGTTGGCTCTCGATAAGACGGGCAGCAACCGCGAGAATTCGATCGATATTCACCGACACGTTCATCGAGGCGACGGCGAATTTCTGATGCTCGTCCTGCAGAGATTTGGCCACCGAATAGATGTGACCAATCTCCACATAGGACATCTGAAAGACGTCCCGATTGTGCAAAATCCAGTCGAACATCTTCTCGCAATCTTGTTCAAAGAGCCGCCATTGAAAGCACTGATCCAACTTGACCTTCTTGTGCTGCCATAGCATGAGCAAACGCTCCTGGCCTGTGTGAATCAGATCGATTTGGCGCAAGGCTTTGTTGATGGCTGCCGACATGTCTGGGTTGTTGGTAATAGATTTTTGGGATTGCTGAGATTGCTGGCTTGCGTTCATTGTGGATGTGCCCGAGTCTATGCTGCCACTCCCATCGGAGGCCGATTGGCAGGTTGCGCCCTGCAAAAGAAAGCAGTTTTCGATTAAATTTAATTTAGAAAAGGGAAGATTCTAGGTTTCAACGAAGCCTTTCATTGAGGGTTCTGATACAGAAAGGTCAGAAGCTTTCGTAATCCAACTATAAAGATAAAAATATCGGATTGGAAAGCTATTTTCTTTGCTTAGCTACATTTTAAGAAGCGTGTTTTAAAGTATCGTAGAAACATCAAATTTGAAGATTTTTTTCTACTCACTTGACCAGCAGCGGCGGGACCGGACGTAAAGCTCATATTGATCTTGGCCAGCAGCTTTTTCCCCTGCATATCCAGATCTTCGATGGGCAGTTTTGTGATCTTCTTGCGCATTTCGTTGTGATAATCGATGGCTTGACGGGCTTGACTGACCTCCTCGGCAAAGTCGTTGCGATTGAGGTCCTCCTGCAGATCGTCTATGCGATCAGCCATGTCGCCGGCCTGCCAAAAGAAATCCTCGATGGCCAGACGTGCATCTGTCCACTGCTGATGATCGTACGCCTGTTGGCCGTCGAAGTCAACGGTTAACTGATGTGGCTCGACGATCTTGTTAAGGGCGTCAATCGAAATTGTTGTCGTCTCAAATTTGTACTTGTGCGAGGAAATGGAGGCGCGCTGCTTTTGCCAAAAGTTGTCAGGCTTGATGATAACCACGTTATGAACGTTGGCACTAAAGTGCTCCTGCAGTACTTTTAGTATCGATTTGACGTTCGTTGAGCAGTTCCCATTGCCTCGCATGTCAATCACGACTGTGAAGCCTAGATTCTTAGCCGTATCGCTGCAAAGTGAAAGGGGGATTTAAAAAACGTGCCACAAACCAAATGATCGAATGGGAGAAATAGAGAGATTGAGATAGAGAGAGAGAGAGAGAGAGAGAGAGAGAGACTAATAGCCATCATCAATGGCTTATGCACGCAAGTGAGAGTGTTGGTTGTGCTATTTGGTCGTGGTCGTGTCGGCTTTCGTTGTGTCGGGTCGTTGTTCCGATTACATGTTTTGCATAAATTACTAGCCAGCTATTCCATTATTCTTTCCCTAAGAGCACCAAACTTGCCAAGTCGTAGATTGCTACGGCTGGGTCAAAAAACATCTTGTTAGTGTGTGGTCACCGGCATACACACTATATAGTACATTCTAAAGTTCTTAAGCGCCCAATAAGGGTATACAAATAGTTTTAATGCTTACTTTAGCTGATTTATCTAGTTTTATATGTGTCTAATAATATAATACTTATATTAAGGGAAGCGTACATACCCTTGCAAATTTACTTTATCGCTTTTTAATAACATTTAAACATAATTTCTTCTACTACATTCTCGTTTTAAAGTAGTTCAATTTAGTTCAAAAATCATGATTAATAGAATAAAATGCTCTATGTTTTCGTAAAGATGTTTGATTTAATCCTCCAACTATACCGGGTAAAATAATTATAATTATTAATACATGTTTTATATTTGAATAAGAAATGAATATAAGAGGAGCAATTTTTATCATACACGAAAACAAGCAGATGGACTTTTGAATAAAAAAAACAAAAGTACAGCAGATGCTAAAACTTGGGTTAGGAAATACTTTATGAGGATTCCGTTATTACATTATTTTTATCTCTTGGGAAATTAATTTCAAATCCTCCTAACAAATATTATTATTATGAAAAAATGCTTACAAGAATTATTAAAAATTAAAAAGAAAAGGATTAAAACCTTGAACCCAATGCTAATTTAAATATTACAAAATTTACCCTATCAAGGTAACCCTTTTATCATAAAAAATAATTATTTATATTCTTTCCATAAAATATAAATATTTTTAAATATTATTTTTAAACGAGATCGGTCTATTATGTTATTGTCTGACACAGGAATAATAATCCTTTATGTTTTTCTCGCGAATGGCACACTATGGTTGCCATGGGAATGTTTAAATGAAATAATATGTTATCCTCACAGCCTTCGCGTCCCACGCTATTCCAAAGAGCAGAATTCCCACCACTTGTTTGGCCATAAAATTGAAGGGAATTAACAAATGCTCGACAGTTATTGTCTCAGAGAAATTATGTATGCGTTGTTGACGTCAGCGACTTTTGTATTAATAACACTAAGAGCTTTTAGGCCATATTAAAAGAGTCAAAAGGCAGAGAGGAAAAGGTTCAACGAAATAAACAAACAACAATCACAATAAACAACAACTGGCCAACAAGCAATTAGATAAGAGCACACACAAGAAGTTAAAAACAATACCAAAAAGATCGGCGGCGGTCACTCACTGGAGGCGACACACACTCATATATACACAAGTATGTATTTAAGTGATAAATGCGCGTAAATTGCGAGCAACTTATCAGCACCAATGGGAACCCACATTTTAAACATGGACTTTTGCACCAGTGACGAAACAATTGGTTTATCAGTGCGCCTAGAATGTCATGGGGAGGAAATTCCCACTCATAATCAGGGATTTACTGGTAGTGTTCTACTTATTTTGAAAGGGCTTCTTTGTGGAGAAGAGATCCACTTACATTTGCATGCAAAGTACACTGCAAAAATTATGTTTATCGTGCTAACATGCATAGAACAGTCATTGTAGATAAATATGTATGTATGTGTGCTTGTATATAATATACGGAATGGTATTTAATGTCAGGCAAAGTTTTCAGTCGTCACCGGCTGATGATGATGATTCATAAAATATGCGCGAACCGTGAAGAAGGCAACGACGGCTATAACAGGAAAATCAAGTGGAATGCAGCTGCAGCTGCAGTTTGTTTGTGTATTGGGTGTGAGGGTGTGTGTAAGACGAAGACGACATTGCATTGCATTACTTCCAAAATAAAATAAAATAAAATGAAACGCCAACGAAATAACAACGACCAACAGCACCAGCAGCAGCAGCAGTAGCAGCAGCCTGGAAGACAATGAATGCTCACTGTATGGCATAACAATGACAACCGCAAATGCGCATAAAAGAGAAATATATACACAAACATATAGACGACGAATAAGCAAACACACACTCTACACACACATGTGCTTGTGGTGGCTTATAAGGACAGTTGGGGGAAGGAGTGGTAGTAGAGACATTATTGATTTATAACTCACCTTGGTATGGAAATCATATAGCTTAGTAAACGTCGCAAATCCTCTGGCTTGAGTCGATCTCGTCGTGGTGTGGCCGGAAAGCAGAGCAGTGGACCGCCACGACGATCGCGACCACCGGTGAGGAACACCACACGCTCCTGCAGCAGCGTCAGCAAATCGCGGGCCCGTTGTCCATCCATTTGGACGACGAACAACCTCTGCTTAACACTCGCGTGACTTGGATAACTATTTTTGTTGCAATTGCAATTGTTGTGGGCTTAGGCAGCTTTGGCGCAACATAGCGAAGAAAATACCTCAAATTTCACTTTAAACACAATGTCTGTGGTGGGTGCCGCTGTTGTTGTTGATGTTGGAGTTTTCTTTACATTATATGTTTTCATTGATTTTCGCAATATTTTCATGGTCACTTTAGCTGGTCATCCATTGTTGTGTGTGTGTGTGAGTGTGTGTGGGGGTGTTTGAGAGGTAACATTGAACTTAAAAGAATGAAGAGGAAAGAGAACGCATAGGAAGAAAAACAAATAAGAAAAAAGCATATAAAAGCAGTTAAATTTCTTACACGCATACACACACAAAACACATTCACACAAACATACATATGTTTATACACTTGTATGCACATATATTCTAGTAATACGTATGGTTTACAGGAAGAAGTAGGCAGCTGTAGGTTCAACACTAATCATAAGTCAACTGCATTGGTTTTTTATTTGGTTTTTGGCACACTCGAGAGTCCATAACAACATATACCATACACACATACATATGTATGTATATACATACATATGTATATGTATGTGTGCACACACTCATAAATACATCATCATCAGCATCGCGTCACAACAGAGCAGAGCAATTCATACATAGATTTATTCTTGGCTCGTTTATTAATTGCTGTTGCAATATGCTTAAATATCCAGAGAACGCATCACCATCACATCACATTCACATCTTCTTTCCGCACATTTTTCTGCGTCTCTGCTGTCCTCTTCTTCTTCCAAACGCTTTTGGCTGCAATTGATTTTTCATTCTGTATACGCGCTAATGCTCACTTTGTATTGGAACACTTCGACAACAAAAACATCTATTGAAAATATTTTATATTACTTATTATTATTTAATAAGTATTTATATTTGTTTATTGTAAGCACTTTGTCATATTCAACGTTAATTTCTGAATAGTATGCGACCATCGAGTAGAGTTCGGACGGTCCGGCCCGAACTAGTTCCAATGACCGGGTATAATAATGGAACTGTTGAACTAAATCTTTATGTTTAGTTCCTATGAGTAATTTTGATCATTGAATTGAAGGAAATTGTTTGTTTGACGAACTTCGCAAAATCTTTTCTTCATAAATGAATCAGAAGGAGCAACTTTACCATCGAATCTTTTACTCTTGATAAATGATAGAAATATTGAAATATCGATAGAAAATGTTGTGCGATTTCAAAATATAACGATCTTTAATGGTCATTTAGGTCATACATACAAATATAGTCAGGTATATTTGCAATAATATAAAAAATCAATACAAAACATTAAGCATTTTTGCTTTGATTAAATATATAACTTAAAAAACCACTGATTCGAATCATTTTAAAAATGTTTTCACTACTGATATCGACAGCACTAGTCCAGGCTTGTTTATATATATCGTTATATATCGAACTATCGAATAATCGAAATTAGTTGCTTGAAATGTGTTGGAAAACAAAAATTCTCGACGTTGCCAGACCAACGTTGATCAGCTGTGCAGCAAACTGCAGCGCCATTGAGTCCTTTAGCAGGTGCAAAGAAATAAAATAACTTACAAAAATTCTGCGAAAAATTAAAGCCACTCTCCAGCATCGCAAAAACAAATCCCGTAAAAAGCAACAGCAAGCACAACTGGCGAGTGCCCACAGCAGAAACATGGAGAGCAGTCTGAATCGCATGATAAACCAATCGCTGCGACATCCACTCAGTGGCCAGCTCAGCAAATACACAAATGTGATGAAAGGTCGGGTTATATGCAGAGTTTCACACATTCAGAACATTGCTGATTGTTGCATGTAATCATATTGCAGGCTGGCAGTATCGCTGGTTCACAGTTGATGCTAAGACAGGCTTTCTCAGCTACTATCTGTGCGATTCCTCTGCCGTTGGTGATGATATAGCGCCATCGCCACATGTCCTGGCCAGCGCTCCACGAGGTCAGGTGCAGCTGGCCGGCGCCGTTGTCTATCCTAGCGACGAGGATTCGCGTACGTTTTCCATTGCTTGTGCTTCTGGTGACACCGTCAAGTTGCGTGCAAACGATGTGCGTGCTCGCCAAGAGTGGGTTGACGGGTAATTATTCAATCATACCATGGGCGTGTCCTTGTTTATTCCTCTGTTCCTTGATAGCTTGCGGGCTGTTGTCGAGAGCCACACAAAGGCCATGGATATAAGCAATTCAACGCCGTTGCCACCGCGCGAGTTGTTGGCAGCCTCCGATGCTATGGTCTCGGCTCGCCAGGCTTTATTTCTCACGGAGCAGTGGTGAGCAAGAATGAGAAGGGGCTTTTTATCTTCTACTTACAACCTTGTATTTTATAGCAACGCTTCCTTGGCTCGTGCCATTGAGAACATCGATTGTGCTTCCTTCTCGCCCACAGATCCCGATCTCTTGCTACTGAAAGCTATATCTACGGCCAGCACTCAGTGTTTGCATCAGTGTCTCAGTCTACTGCAGCGGCATCAGGAGATTAATCAACCGTCTGCCGAAGTCACAGCTGCGTTAATATAAGTTTGACAAAAATTCCGTGAATCGAAGCAATAAATCTTCAGTGTTGTGTTTTTAAAACCCCTGTTGCCTGAAATTTTCGCAAGCGACTCATATTTGTTACATACTCGTATGTACTTGAGTCTAAAAATATTCATTATTTCTTTGTGGCTGCATCCATTCAATAATTGCTGCACTTTAGAGACACCTTACCTACATTCATCCGCCAGCTATATTAAATAGAGTTTTCGAGTTAAGTCGAATCCATAGGCCAGCTCTTTTGGTTTAGCGTCCTCGTTTTATTATTATTCTTTACGTATTTGAAACCCATAGACTACAATTTTTAAAACGTCTAACTCTACAATGGAGGTTGTTTTTCTTTTCATTTTTGAACTGAAATTGGCTTTATCGTAACAGAGAACACACATACTATACGAGTACATACATGTTTATAGGATTATGTACGCGTATGTAAATAAATACGGGTATGGCCATTGCAGTACTGAAAAGATATACTTAAGTCTAGGTTTGCCATTTGAATCATGGGAAATTTTTTAGTTTTTATTTTGTATATTTTTATATATAATAGGTAAATGTGTGCTTAAAAACATAGGTATTTAAATAACAACATCCAAATTGATTTGCCGAAAGTACGCCTAAAGGTCAACAAAAATATATTCTTAATATTCTTCATACACAATACCAGTCAAATACTTATAGCAGACATTGCTAGATCCCTAAACGAAAATTGTTGCAAATTCTCAGTGCTCCGATACATACATACATATATACTTGCAGTAGAAGGGAATTAAATAGCAGGGGGATTATTAAAAAACAAATAAATACACACTAGAAAAGGCACTTTAGAAGATACGATTACATAAGACATTCTAAAACAAAAATTGTAAACAAAAGTCTAAAATTGTTGCCTGAGAGTGTTTATAGTACGTTAGGTCCGGAAATCATTAATGAAGGCTTTTCAAATTAAATCAATACTTGCATTGCGCTCACAACAATTTTCGTTTTGTGTTTCAATTTGTTTTCTTTTTTTTAAATTTTGATTAATTCCTTTTTACATTTCTCTACAATTTTGTTCTTGTATAAATATTTCTCTTTTATAAAAAGTACCTATTATTTTAAAAATTGTGCTTACGTTTCACTAACATTTCTTTTTGGTTGATGTTCTCTGAATTTAATTCCGAAAGGCATTTTTTGTGATTTTTGAAAGACCTAAACATAATTTTAGTTGTTAGTTGTTCTCATTTCGAGTTGTTTTAACTTGATTCCTCTTTGTTGTTGTAATGCACATTCCAAAAATGTTGTTAGTAATTTTGTACATGTTTATTATTATTTTGAATGATACTATAAATAATAATAATAAACTTAAGCCGAGCACACAATTTTTAAATGGTAATTTGGTTTACGACCAATCGATACGTGATTTCATCTCGCGGATTTCATGGAATGTTCCAAGGGTTTTTAGTATTTACTTGTATTTCGTTTAAAACTAAAGAGATCGGTTATTTTTCTTTAATTATGCGCTACAAAATAATAATACTTTAGTTATCTGCTTAATATATCTATTAATTTGAATTACAAATGTCACAAAAACAATTTCGTTGCGGATTAAAGTACAAACATTCATATAAGTACACAATTCAAACTCGTCAACTGTTTGTTCTCAGACCACACAACAAAAATACTTACACATATACTAGTATAATAATCCACAAGAGCCCCCACGACTATTATTGCCACAACAATTATTGCTTTTTAGAATGTTAAACCAATTTCGCGTGGATCATGAGACGAGTTGAACGAATGTCTAATTTTCAAATCGCCTTTTACAAATCACCAACAATTATGGAAATATGGACGTACTCCATTTCATCCAAGGTGGAAGCGCATTTCTTTACAAAATCTACTGCCTATAAAATCACAGAAAACAAGCTAGAAGGGACCTTAAAAGAATGGGGTGCTAAGAAGAGGATGCTGTTAAACGTATTGTTTTATTTATGAACTGCAGATAAATTAGTAGCCCAATTTTCTTTACTGCACCTATTTCGGTGAAAATTATAGTATGGATGGCATTAGAAATGAGTTATAAACACCAACTTTAGTTACGATATCCCATTACCAAAAAAGTAATTCTTTTAAGGTGCTAGTGATTTTGACAAGAGTTCAGGACAAGTTCGGTTCCGATATCGTCGAAAACAAACTAGTTTTTAGTACCAATTGTGAACTACATTCATCTACACATACAAGTACAAGTATAGTGGACCGATTTTGGGGAATCCTTGGAATACAGCGAACAAAACAAAAAGTAATAGTATTAAAAATGAGTCTGATATTGTTATAAACCAAAAAGTTATTTTTATATTTCTCTGATTTGAGAACCGCTCTACATGATTTACAAATTAATATAAAACAAACAAACGGAGATAAAAGAATCTGAAAGGCATCTTCTATATCTTCTATCAAAACACAAAATACGCTGTCTTAAAATGGCACTTGTATCCCAAAGCTGTAGGATCCAAAATACAACACAGAGTTGAAAGCTAAGTTTAAATATTTAGAGGAGTTTTCGAGAAATAATTTTTTTGTAGAAGGCGAATGCGATCTTAGGGGGGCTGAGACTCAAGCAGCTAACGAGTTAGTACGAATAACCGAAATTCGTCGTCCATTTAAGAAGGAGGGAGGGTGGGGGCTTAATATTGATTACACTGGATGGGTTGGATTTACGTGAACTTAACGTTGTAAGTAGTTGCTAGGAGTTTTGATTTGATTCCTTAGATACTTTTGTTTTGATTTTCGAAACATCTCTCTATTCGTTGCTCGTGGTAATGGGCTCTACCTTAATGCTGCTCGAACTGATGTCGGTGGATGAGGCTCTTCCCGTAGCAATGCTCGTTGCTGGCGCGGTGGATGTTGCCGTGGTTGCCGGCGAGGACGAGGACGCGACGCCGCTGACCAGCTCGGCCAAATCGTCGGCGAAGAGCTGTGTGGGAGAGTATTCGCGTTTGTAGCTTCCTATCTCTAGGCCGAGCTCTGGCAATGGCAAAGGCGAATGCAAGTGCGGGGTGTCGCTGCGCAGCGGACTCGCCTGTCGCCGCTCGGAAGACGCCGCTGCCTTCGACTTATCAGCAATATGTTGCTGTTGTTGTTGCTGTTGTTGCTGCTGCTGATGTTGCTGTTGCTGCTGATGTTGCTGCTGTAGGGCGCTGGCGGCGGCAGACGCCGATGTTGCTGTTGCGGCGGCTGCATGGGACATGGACATGGAACTGGCACCGAAATTTGTCTTGTGGGGCTGCATGAGATGCGCCTGCTGCTGCAGCAGTGCATGTTGCTGCTGCAGCTGTAACTGTTGCAGGTGTTGCTGTTGCTGCTGGCCCAGTAGCGAGGCGGCGGCGGGATCGCGCAATGCGACGGCCATACTGGGCGGCAGGCCCGAGAGCGCGTGCATGGCTGCGGGACCGCAGGGCGAGGGCGCATGCCGTGGTCCCAGCGATGGATTCGACCCGCTGCTCAGCGCCGGCGATATGCTCGCCTTGGGCAGCGGTATGCCGCCGGGCACCGGATGCGGCTGCAAATGCGGGGGCAGATTGAATAGTCCCGGCGGTGGTCCACCACTTTCCGCGTGCTGATGCTGGTGTTGCTGCGCGGCCGCTGCCATTTGCATCTGTTGACGTAGATTTTGCGCCACTGCCGCGACGGCGGCTGCGGTTTCCTGCGACATTTGTTGTTCGGCAGCTGTTCCGGATCCGCCGCTACCGACCGCCCCGCTGGGCATGCCATTGGGACAAGCCAACGATCCCAGGCTAGGGCCGCCGGCTGTCATGCCACTAGATCCGGGATAGTTAAGAGACAGATCCTGGAAAGGAAACACGGGCTAACCCGTGCGCTGATTAGTGCCTTTTCATAATGGCAGATTATCAATAAAATAGGAAATGAAAAGCCTCATACTAGTTAGATCATGTACAGAGTTTTTCAAGAGCCACTACATGTGTTTAGATGCTGCTTAGTCGATATTCCAATCGGAATCATATTTTGGGCTGCGATTGTGGTTTGAAATTATATACAAAGTTGTTTGGAAACATTAAACCCAAAAGTAGGGTAATACGCGGTGGTTTAATCTTATATGGAAAAATGATTATAAAACAAATCTCTTCCACACAAGAAGCCTTCAGAGTTAGTTCTGAAGATTAAAAGTGAAATCCCAAAATTCCTCACAACACAATGTTCCGATCTGAAAACTGGTATGAATATACTATATATTTAACTGAAAGTCTGTTACTATTTTCAAATGTTTTTAAGTTTGGTTGAAACTACTTGAAAATTGGGAAAATTTAACCCAAAAGTGGGTTAAAAGCCGCTCTTTGCTACACAAGAAACTGTGTGTTTGAAATTTTGCATTATTTATGACAACTAGACTAATAATTCACCTGCCTGACCATCAGCCATGATATGTGAGTATGAATCAAATTCAAAATAGTTTCGAAATAATTAGAATATGAGGACTTTTACACTGAACTCTATATCCCCTATATTATCTGTGCAAATTCAAAGTTTTTCTGAGAAATGGGTAAAACGCTATTTACCGAATGACGTCCATAGGGCGGCAAATGCGAGCTCATGCCGTCATCCTTTATTTCTTTGGCATCACGAAACACTACCGTCTTAATTACACCCTTGATATGCTCGTCTGGCCAGATCCCCAGTAATATGCGCTGCGGTCTTCCGCGCCCCTTCGGCCTCAGATCGGGTCCGCCATCGATGGAGGGTCCCAGCATATTGTGGACACGATTCGCATATAGCACAAACGTTGGATAGGGTATGTCGTATTTGCGAGCCGCCTGCGATAATGATAGGCCCTCCTTCAGGACGCTGAAAATGGCCTCGGCCATGGTCTCGGGGCGCCAGGATTTGAGCGGACCACGTTCACGAAAGCGCATGTGGTGCATCAGATTTTGGTTGGTATTCCAGCATTTCTGCCACATCGACTGCAGTTGGTATTGGTAACTGTCTGCTGGGTATTACATTTCATCCAAAAGAGACGCGATCAATAGAGAGAGAGAGCGGGAGAGAGAGAGATGTGGATAAAGGTAGTTATGGGAACATTTTGCTTTGTGTAAAGAGCATCTACAAACCAGCCAGCGTCGATGCGGTACCTCCCATCCAAGCGTGTGAGTTCTCCAGCATTTTGGCCTGCAAAAATAAAAATAAAGGAATACATTTAACATTGTTTAGGAAATATTATAATATTAATATGGACATAAAGAATTACATACATATTTCTCTTATTTAATATTGTTTTTTTTTCCAAATTAATTTCACTTTTCTGGCGTCGAAAGAACAGAAGACCTATTCCCTATTCAGACACTGTTTTAAGATATAATCCCAAAATAAATTGATATTTTTGTAAAGATGTGTTCTTTTTTTTCGTTTAAAATAGAGCTGATATCAAAGGTTGCTTAAAATGTTGTGGTTGCTTTTCAAATCCGTCGAGTTTGATTATTTGTCTAAATAAGGAAATCTAATTTTTGTGACTAGTGCATTAATTTATAAGAATATTTCTTGTCGCACTAGGAATTAATAATAAAAATTAATAAGAGATTATGTATTTAGGCTTGCGTAAACTGGTTGTGAATTATAAACAAACAGTTGAAACTAATAAAAAGAAATCACTTAAAAAGGACTAATTTATTTTGGTCACATATAGGGTTTACTATTGGAAATAATTCTAGCCGTGAACTGACTAATTTAGTTGCAAATGTATGTATTTATTACTCGTGTGCAATCATTCCATATCTGAACACATACTTTTGAAACCGCTGACTCGCAGAGACGGAACTTTTTGTGCTTCAAGTGCTTCAAGTGGTATCCAAAACAGTCATACTATGTATATATTTGTAACAATATTTAAATCGCTTGGGTTCGAGGCCAGTTGTTTCTTTCTGTGTAACTGTGGCTTGAATTAATGGCCTATACGGATTAGCTGTTGGCAAGTCAGTTCGCTAAATTGACTTGCAAAATTGACCCATTTTCATTATAAGTTGGATATTTTTTTTTTACTCATCTCACCATTTTTTCCGCCCTTTCTTCATTAGTATTTTTATTTCGAGTGTGTGGGTGTGTGTGTAGGATTGCGGGCGGAACGGTTACATTCAATTGCATTGCTGAGCATTTGAGAAGAGTTGTTTGGTCGCTTCGTGCCGCTGTCTATTTGCTGAGTGTCGTGGCGGCTTAGGGCGTGGTCGATTGAGGCGGGTATAGTAGGGGGAGGGGCACGGCTCGTCAGTCGGGCAAGTTTGTATTGAATTCACTAATTGCATAACAAAGTAACATTTGCATGTTGTGCCACATGCATACATCTATCTATCTATCTATCTATCTATCTATATGTAAATGTGTATATGTGTGTGTGTGTGTGTGTGCACTGTTATACATTATGCGTTAACTGGCGGCGCCGTTAGTCGAGATGCAGCGATACGGGCATATAACTTCATTCATTTCGTATCGCTGCTCTACAAATCTCATCAAGTAGCTTCACAGCCCTCCAAAGCCTTTCTAGCCACTTGCCCCCATTTTTTGCTGTTGTTGTTGTTGCGAAAAGTGTATGCATTTGTTGTTGTTGCAATTGTTATAACAACGAATATTCAATATGCAGAAATTGTTGCCTACTTTCAGGCGAATCACACACCTATTTACACACATCTGCATTTAGCACGCAGATATATAGCACATATATAGCGATGTAAAAACGTATAATACAATACCATTTTCTTTTCAAATTGCGAAATATATTAAACAATACAATGACTACGCGCTCGACTTTTAGAAAATTATGCTTCAGTGTTTATACAAGAGTATATTAGATGTTACAGCAAGAAGGAGGCGTCTGTCCGTCCGTATGAACACCTGGATCTCATAGACTATGAGAGATAGAAACACTAAATTTTGCAAAAAGATGCCTTATGTGTGTACGCTATACGAGTTTGTTTAATTTTTTGGTTTCCCCCCCCCCCCCCCCCCCCACTTCACCCCTATGGAGGTTTTCTTGATTTTCCTTTCGTATAATCGCCTATATCTCGGACACTATAAGACCTAGGAACACCAAATTTTAGTCCCAGTTGCCTTATGTGAATACGCAGAAAATGTGTATTTTGGAATTCCCCTCCCTCTCCCCGGCAATTGGTGATTTTCCCTAACTCCGGTATTTCTTGGAATTTTAATTGAAATTCGGAAAATACATCCAGTTAATGATTATGAGTATGTATGCTAAGTCTCATAATGATGGACCGATTTGTTGTTACTGCTTTGCACACAGACACACAAAAACAAACACATACACGCATAGACACGCATAATTATTCTACACATATGTACAGAGTATTTCAAAGTCGAGACACCCTAATTGTTAACAATTGTGATTTTTTGAATTACATTTTTTATTCTACACATAGGTACAGAGTTTGTTGTTAAAGAGTTGATTTTTAAAGTGAAATAAAGCTTTACATTATTTTGTACCGACAATCCGCTAATGGATTGAAAGATATGAAGGCTCGATGATAGGGAGAATAGGGAATCGCGGAGAATAAAATTAACTAACAGGATCACATACGCGTAGTGCCAGCTAATGGTCCGTTATTGATGTTGAACTCGACTCGAATCGTATTAACAATGCATGGGTCGCTGCTTGGCCGGTTTAGGTTTAGGTTTAGGTTCTGGGTCGGGTTCGGGTTCGGGTCCGTATCGCTTCGCTTTGATGCAAAATCGAAACGTGGTCAACTTCATTTCGCTTAATTTCGCGTTGGTTCGCCCACATCCCACCACATATATATACATATAGGTATATCTATATATATGTATGTAAATGTGTGTGTGTAGCTGAAGCGTCGCGGGATGCATGGACGCTAATCCGACTAGTGTGCCTCTCAAACAGCAATGAGGAGCTCGCCACACCAAACCACACCCAATTTCGCACACCACCACCCCATTGGGTTATGCCCTGACATTTTGGCAGCACCAACAACAACAACAACAACAAGAGCAACAACAACAAGAGAAGCGAGTGCAGAGTGCAGTCTGCACCAAGACTGTCAAATGAGTTGTAATGAAATCTCGTTCAGAGTGCCGTCGTCTGTGGATGTGGATGTGGCAGATGGCAGGTGGCAGGCAGGCAGGTAGGCAGCCAGGCAGACCGGCTTTGGTCAGTCACACATGGAATAAATAAATAATTAAGCATGTATTTGGCGTACGTATTATATTGAAGGCAGGTGGGTAATAAGCACACACACATACACACACACACAAATGTATGCTAATGTAGGTGTGTGTATGAGTGTGCAAATGTCTTTGACACGAACTTACGCATTTGCGTGATTAGTCTCAATAGTTGCTGGCATTTAGCTGCGGCTTCAGCTGTCGTTCTTGCAACAGAGGCTTCGATGCAGCAGCAGCAGCAGCAGCACAATCCGCCACCATTTTGTTGTTATTAGAGGCCAGCCACCCTTTTCAGAGCCACGTGGTTGGTTCAATAAGTCTTTGATAAACAATATGTTAATAGATTGATTTCTTCTTAAGCCCTTTAAGGAATGTGTTTTCAAAAGCGTTTCAAAATGGCAAATGTTTTAGTGACGGAGATCCATTGTTAAATTGAGGGCCAATTCTTTGGGTATTTGTTATTTTCTTTTATTTTATTTAGTACATCTGTCGTTTATAATAATTAATATATTTGGATATGTATGTGGATTGTGGATATGGAAACAGTTTAAGGCGATATCGAAACTGTAATAACTTGCTAAAATCTCACTTTCTTCTTGGCATGTTTGGTCAATAATGCTACTTATATTATTAATTTGAGATCCTAACATCCTAAGCTGATCTAAAACAGTTTTGTTCGAAACGTTCTTTGAAGTGTTTTTTGTTTTTTTTTGCTTCTTTAACGACTTCAATATTTTTCCCTTACTCCACTTCTCCATGTCCGGTAATAGAATATGCTCATTGAAATCATTCCAGTGTACATTTTACTATGATCCTAAATTGATTTTAAAAATATTTGTTCAAAACGTTCTTAAAGTAGGCAAATTTTTTAAAGATAATTTTCTCTAACGACTTGAATATTTTTCCGTAGTTCAACTTGTAATAGAAAATGTCAATTCTAGTGTGTATTGAAAACAATTTCAATCGTCATTTAAATTCAATAAACTGCATTATTTTAACGAAAGATTAGTTTATTCTTTTTGGCCCTATGTAGGCTTTTATTTTCTTCAAGTATCGTTTTTTTTTTGTTACAAACATTTGTATATTCTAATAGGGTCACAAAATATCTAAAAGTTGAAGAAAAGGTGTCTAAGGCTTCGAAAAAATTTGCTTGTTTGATTGAAGACGCAATATTGTTATGTATTTTCGTACCAGAGATTTGAATATTATTATTATTTTAAATATATTTTAAAGCTCTTAGATTATTCGAATCATTCGTACATTTATTTCATTTCCACAGTGGGCCTTTCGAGGTCTATAGCTTGAAATACTTACTAAGAAATGCCTAAAAATCTGTCTGGAAAAATTAATTTCGACCATTTGCTGATTAAAAATGGTCCAGAGTGCGTTGCATAGTAGTTCAAGCTAATGACAAGTAAGAATATTTAAAAAAAAAAGCAAAACTATCCGCCATGATATATATATATTTTTAGTCGCCAATACTTGTATCGTAGCTTTCTAGAAGCCCACTGTCTTTTAGACTTCACTGTCATATTTCAGAGGAAATATATAGGCAAGAAATTGAATCTATTGATTTAAGTGAGGTCTTCGCTCCATAATATCCACCAAAGGGTGCTTTTTCTAATGTACTCTCAAGTACTTCATAGCTTCCAATAAACATTCCCAGCTCAGTTCAACTTTTGTGGATATAAGACGTGATTTAGGTTGATTTACAGTCCAATACGACGATGCATAAGAGATGCAGAGTTTCAATCAACTGTGGCTTTTTTTCTTTCAAATAAAAGTGTTCGATCTCAGCACGAAACTCAGTGTTAATGGCATTAATCGACTGGGAATATCAATGTACAGTAAGTTGGGAAGCAGTGCGAATATCGAACTCATAAAATTGTTAAAACTCATTGAGCCACCCTCGTAATATTGTTTTTTTATTATTGCTATTTTTATGATTGCTGTCAGCGCCCAGACATCGACACCTTCGCAAT